AATTTATGAGGATTATCTTTATCAAGAACTAATTAATTGTAAATGTTAATTGTAATTTTTATGACATTTTTTTTGTTTTAAATTAAAACAACTGTAATTTTTCATGACATTTTTTTCATCGAAACAATTGTAATTATTCATGACATTTATATATGTCTATAAAATATTATATATGTCTATAAAGTTAAATGTGTTGATTTTTATTAGTTTTAATGTTAAAACTATTTTTTGAAAAACAACTTTAAATAAAGTTTTGAAATTAATTTATAAAAACATCTTACTAGACATATAATAATTATTATTTTTAAGCTTAAACTCACTTTTAAGCCTCTAAGTTTTCTATTATACCTAGAAGCCCCCAATTATGGAATAATTATGAGTATAAAAATCAGAAAAGACATCAAAACGCTTTCAAACATAAGTAATTCTCAATCAAAACTAAAAGAAAGAATTTTAAATAATCAAAACATGAAGGACTTCTTTTAAAGCTAGGGTAGAGCAGGGCATATATAGGGACACTAAGAAACAAATGCTAGTTGCGGTAAAATTAATCATAGATAACACTGTTTTTTATAAACTTTGTAATATTCATTGATTTAAGAAAATGAAAAAACAAAGCAAAAAAAATCTTTAAAAATAAGCTACAACAACCAAAGTAACGAAACTCTAGACTAGCTAAACTTTTACATTTTGCAATGGATGGGGCAAAACGGGACAGTTAAAAAGCATTATTTTTTCGTCAATTGTAAATATTTAAAAATGATGAAAAAAGAAGGCGATTGATTGTCTAAATATACATAATTGATTATATAATGTATATGTATATAATTTCGATTGTATATTTAGTACATAATATCATATGTATAATATATATGTATATAATATATATGTATATAATATGTATGTAATATATGTATATAATATATATGTATATAATATCGATTGTCTAAATATACATACATTAAAATCTCAAAAAAATAACATTCATACATTAAACTCATAAAAAAGAAATAAGAGCTAAAAAAAATTTTTGTGTGTGTGTGTTTTATTATAAAAAATACCTTCGCTCTACTCTAACCTATATATTATTAAATTGGTAACTACTACTAAATTTAAAATGAAACAAAAAACTTTGTGGACCACATAAATCACACAAAATATCAGAAAACTATTTGACAACATTTTTGATGAGCTGGCTTATTAGCGATATGCCAATGTAGAGCAAACTTAAACATGCCACATGTATCAGCAGCTTTTCTAGTTCTAAGTTCCTTTTTACTCCCAGCTAAACTGCATTTCATCCCACTTTGGATAATTGATCTTTCTTTTATAATTTCTTACTTTCTTTTTTAACATTAAGCACTAATAATAATTGAAGTTAAGTTATAAAAATAAGAATTTCTTCGGATTTATTACTAAAATTACTTTTTTAAATAAGAAAAATAATATTTTAGATTAAAAATAAAATCATCTAACTGTGAACAGCATCACAAAATGGTAGTAATATATTCAATTATATAAATAACTTGTTGTCCCGATATGCCCCACAAAAGTTATTTTACTGATATTAATACTATTCAAAAAATTCAATTCCAAATATTTTTCAAAGTCAGATTCTAAAAGAGGATAAAAAATACAGTCTGAAAAATATAAACTTTTATAAACAAAGCAAATTCGTAATAGTTGAAGATAAATTATTTGTCATTGTATTTCATTAAGGAAATACATTAATTGTGAAGCACAATAATTTAAAATGTTTTAGCAAAAAATATTTTTGAAAAATATTTTTTTAAAAAAAATTTTTAAAAAAAATTTTTAAAAAAATTTAAAAAAAAAATTAAAAAAAAATTTTAAAAAAAAATTAAAAAAAATTTTTTTTTTAGCTGAGATATAAGACTTCAGGTAAAACTGCGCCATTATGCCACACTGTCCTCATATGCTCCGCTCTACCCTATATTTAATTAATGGTCTTCAAAATATGGTTAAGTAAATTTTCATTTTATTTGCAAAGATTTAAAAAATTCTGTTCTTTAAAAAATTCTGATTTTTAATTTTTCTATTTTCACATTATATATAAATATGAATTTTTCTTAAAAATTTTAGTTCTTTATATTGTATTTCTTAATTCTGTATACTTAGTCGTAATAATTTGAAAACTGTTTTATATAATTTTGAATATATATATTTTCATATCTAATCATTAATTTTGGTCATTATTTTATTTATTTTATTGTAAAATAATAATCGTATATTTTTGTTTACTCATGTCTTATTTATTTAACATTTGTAATATTTGTATTAAATGTTACTGTATTATATCTTTTTTATAATATAAACTATGTGCGACAATGTAAATGGGACTCAGTGGTAAGACTCTATGTTTTCATTTTATTTTGCCATTTATTATAAATGTAAACAATCACTTTATAAATAGAAAAAAAACTTGGCATTTTGACATACTCATAAAAATTGAGTAAGTTTAATTCTAACATTTGACCTGCCGAATTTTTTGGCAGGTCACTTAAAAGAATTAAGCTAATTTTATGATTCGCTCTGCAAATGTTTTTACCATTTAAATGATCCACTCCCCCAAACTGCTTTATTTTAAAAGTTGTACCAACCACTTCCACATTAAAAACTATGTTTAATCATATAAATGGGAATTGCTCAATTATTATTTATACTACTTGAAAAAAGTCAATTTATAAATAACTTTTTTCAAGTAGTATAAATAAATTCAGTGCTAAAGCAACTAACAACTATGTAGTACCTTTAAAAAAAGAAAACTACTCAATTCTCTTTAGCATATTGTGGTCCACACCAGTATATCAAATCAATTCCAAAAAATTGCTCAATATCTTTTCTGAAAAATATAAACTTCTTGAAAATTTACTAAAATAAGTCATTTTAGATACAAGGAATTATATGGAAATACACTATTATCTTATGATTTTAGATACAAGCAATTTTTTTGGAAATACACTAACATCTTATGATTTTAGATACAAGCAGAACCTTGAATTTGCAATCCCTGTATGGAATCCTACTTTGAAAGGTGACATTGAAACACTAGAAAAGGTCCAAAGTCGCACAACCAAACTGGTACAATATTTCAAACATCTGTGCTTTGAGGAGCGACTATCCAAAATGAAATAGACTGCGTTGGAGACTAGGCGTTTGCGCGGTGATCGAAAACAAGAGTACAAATTATTGATCATATTACATGGCTTAAGCCACAACAATTTGCACCGTCATTACGAACAAACGAACCAGCATTAGCAATAAGAGGTCATAATCTAAGAATTGAAAAAGAAAGATCAAGAGTTCTTTGTGTCGACATTCTTTAGTAACCGTATTGCGAATGAATGAAATGGATTACCTGAATGCAGTCTTTGAATTCTTTTAAAGCTAGACTTGATAGATTTTTATAATAAATTTTGAGAAAAATAGTTTATTTCTAAAAAAATCACTATCGGTTTCGAAAAAATATATAAACAATTTTATACGACAATGAATTAAAAATAGAAACTATCGTGTCTATTTTTAATTTACATAACAACAACGAATTAAAAATAGATATATCGCAATCAATAGTTAGCGTTGCTAAGGTTGTTCGTACGGAAGCAAAGTTCATTTCATTGAAATCACATTCTTTATAAAATCAACAACGATGAAAAACTTTTATTTATTTTTTTAATTGGTGGACAATTTTAAAATTAACCACTATTAAGTTGGGATTTATTAGAGCAAGGAAAAAACTTAGTTATTAGTTATTTTATTTTATTGCTCAAATAATTTAACACATAATTTGATTAGAATTTTGACAAATTAAATAAATTTTTAGTTCTGTAGGGCACCTAAAAAATAAATTTTATATTCAATAAATATTTTCAGAATGCTATATACAAATGGGAAAAAATTTGACGCAAATCACTTTTTCAAAATCAAAATCTTTTTTTTTTGATTTTTTTGTAAATTTCTACGCTTGCGCATTAGAATGTAAACAAAGCAATTGCTCGGTATTTTTAATATCTTTTTTGTCTCAAAAATACGTTTTTTAGTCAAATGACTTACAAGTTTTACTCGATAAACTTGATTTTTTCAGATAAATAATCATTTAAATGTTAACATCAGATTATCACATATTTTATTTTTTATATACACTTCTTGTATATAGTATATTCTTGTATGTACACTAGGTGATAATGATTCTCTAGGCATCAGTTTTAAAGAATAAAATAAATTATGCAGTAACTTTTTTATTAATAAAAATAGTTCTTACTAATAAAAAAAATGTAACAAAAATATTTTTTTAAATTTAAAGTGTGTTAGCTTTAACGCTAATTATGATGACAAGTTTTAAGTAACTATAGTTACTTCATAAATAATTAAATTATAAGTTTTAAAGCAGTAAAGTATTTACTGTAATCAAAATAATTATATATATATATATATATATATATATATATATATATATATATATATATATATATATATATATATATATATATATATATATATATATATATATATATGTATATATATATATATATATATATATATATATATATATATATATATATATATATATATATATATATATATATATGTATTGATTGCATATATATATATATATATATATATATATATATATATATATATATATATATATATATATATATATATATATATATATATATATATGTATTGATTGCATATATATATATATATATGCAATATATATATATATATATATATATATATGCAATATATATATATATATATATATATATATATATATATATATATATATATATATATATATATATATATATATATATATATATATACATATATTTATATATATATATATATATATATATATATATATATATATATATATATATATATATATATATATATATATATATATATATATCTGTGTGTGTGTGTGTGAAAAAATATATATTTGTATATAAAATAAATATAAAAATTAAATTAACTTTATGGTTTACGTATAGCTAAACAATGGCAGAAGCAGTAAAAGTAATTGTTCGATGTCGCCCCTTAAACTCACGAGAAATCAATCTAAAATGTATTAATATTGTTGAAATGGATGATTCACTTGGATTATGTCGGCTTTTAAAACCTGATAGTGAATCAGTAGAACCACCTAAATCGTTTACATTTGATGGAGTTTTCAATGTTGATAGTGTTACTGAATCTATTTATGCTGATATATGCTTTCCATTAGTTGAAGGTTGTGTTGAAGGCTATAATGGAACAGTGTTTGCATATGGGCAAACAGGATGTGGAAAGTCTTTTTCAATGCAAGGTTATTTTTTTAAATTGTTTTATAGTATAAAAACAAAATTCTGAGACTATTATAATTTATATTTTGTGTGCAGATGTGATATAAAATTTTATATGTTTGTTAAATATCTAATTTTTATACATAATTTGAAAGTATTTAAAATCAGCATTTTAAAAATAAAGTTTTGATTAAAATTTGACAAATTTAGTAAAAAATTTCAACATACTTTATTCTCTTACAAACCTTAACATACAAGGTTTTGATATCAAACAATTAGTGATAGTTATACATAATGTAACAATAATAAAAATTTAATGTGTGACTTTTATTAGTAAGGCTAATTAATGATATAAGTTGAAATCACCACAGTAACAAAACCATATAAATAATTTTTTTAAATTGCAGTTTATTCAATAATTGTGGGTGCTTCTGTTAATAGGTGAAATATCAAACATTATTTTTTTTGGAAATAAAAATTATTATCAAGCTCAATGTTAAAATGATCTGATTCTTTTTTAACTGAAAGAATGTGATTCTTCAACTTCAGCTTCATTTTGCTCCTCATCATGCACTTTTTCAAATGTTTTAATTTGAACTAACAACTTTATTTTTAGGTTTGGTAATAGTCACTTAGCTTTGTGTTTATAAAAAGTTTATTATTAATAGACCAAAAATTAGTTGTGCAGGCATCTTTAACTATGTTAAGCTTATTGTGCAATTGAGACATTACTTGATAGTGTTTTGCATGATAGTGGGTTTCCAGTGGACCTATATAGGCATCTTGAGCTGCTCTATAATGTTTTACTCATTGCCAATGTCATTAAACTACCAATAATACCATTAATGGTACTATTGGTAGTATAATGACATTAATGGTATAATACTAATAATGCCATTAATGGTCCACTAAGTGGGCCATTAATGGCATCTGCTAAAAGTGACCAACCGATAAATTTTAAACATGTGATATAGTGGCTAGTCATCATCTAGCCACATTTTGCGGCTGTCTTTAATGGTTCACTAAGTAACTGATAAGCAAAATTGCAGCACAGTGGTCCCAGAAAGCAAAGTTTTGGAAATAGGATCATAACTAATGATTAAGAGATCCTAGAAAACTCATTGAGGACTTTTTAGAAAGATATTTTTTTGTTTTTTTTATCAAAAAATTTGAATTTTTAATATAAAACTAAATTTGTGGGCTGGGTTCAAATTACCATATTTGGTCATTTTTGATAAATACTCAAAGTTAAATTTTTTTTTAGATGACAATTAAAAAAGTAATTTATTAGATATACATAAAGAAAAGAAAATTCAAAAATTTAAATAATTTGAGGGTCTGGTTTCTACTGGTTTATTGATAAGAAGTTTAATATTTAAAAACAAGTTTTCTGTCAAATTTGAATTTAAACTAATGTTAGAATAATTAAATTATAAGGAAAGAGTTTTAATGATTTGAACTTAGAACATATATTTTAAGATAAAAAGTTAATATCGTAAAAAACTTTAAAAAGTAAAAAATTTAACTTTATAATTAATCATAAATAAGGTTTTCAAACATATCATCAAAATATTTCTTTGGTTTTGAAAACATATGCTCCTAAGATCTGCTTGTATGCTCATTTGAAACACAATCTTGACATAACTTTGGAGGATACAAATGGATAATTTGGCTTAAAACACACAACTCATCGCATCTGTAAGTTGTTCTAGATGAGATGTCTTACGAGAGAGAAGTTTTAAATAGTTTCTAATATCTTTGTTGTTCACTTCTAGACCTTCCTCCGATAAATTGCAAAGGCCATAACCATTATTAAGAATTACAAACTCAGTTGAATGATGAAGGACTCCACAAATTATCCCAGAGTGTGGAAAATTTTATTTTATTTAGTAATAACTCTGTATTTTGCATTACGTATCGGTTCACTAAGTGGCCCTGTTTTTGTAACCCAAATTCTATAATCTATATGACATCGATAAAGTAGTTTTAAAAACCAGTTAGTGCTATTTGTATATGAATGTGTAATGCATATGTTTTTTTAATCAGATTTGGTTTGTGGTTTTTTAGTCAGCAATTTTTAGTGTCAAAATCTCTAGTTTTAGTAGGAATGATACCATCCTTCTCAATCGGAAATCCTTCACTAACTCTCCTAATATCTGTCCATTTAGTAGTTTTTGTTTTGCAAAGTATACAATCTGTACCTCCTAGTCCGCTGATGTGTCGTTTAAACTTTAAATCCTTCATTGTATCTTATATATAAATTTTGATAGTGATATAATTTTTGCCTAACAGATAACGCATTCCTTCAGCATTTAACTCTTCTTGTACGTTATCAGTAGTTGAGACAATAAGATCTAGCAAATCTTGATTAGTTTCTGTTTCTCTTATCAAAAACACAGGATACAATGATCTTGATGCATTTGGTGAATAATTTTGCCACAGGGTCATAATTTTACTTGATTGCATATTAGTTTCAGAGGAATAAGACTATATTGAAACATATTTGACTTGCTTTCAATCATATCTTTTGATTTCATCAATACTTGCCCTGCTCCATCCTTAAAAAACATCTGATACTCATCGTTGTTTACTGGAATAAAAGAATTATATTCAAAACAGAATCAATTGTCTTTTTTACAAGCTCTTTGTATTGAACAGAAACATCTCTTCCAGTCAAAACATTACTAATTATAGGGCGCAGTTTTTTTCTTCCTTCAAACAATTCATTGGTTGTTGGAAAATATATGCCCTTTGAAGCAAAAAGAAATCTTAATTTTCTCATTTGCTCTTTACTTAATGTAAGGGAATGCATTAAAGGAATGGATTCATCTATGCTAAATATATCTGCTGTTTCCATATGGTTTGTATAAATAGCATTTCCAACGCAAGCAATATTTTTATTATTTTGTGTGTTAACTCTATATAAGAGGTAACCCAATAACTGGTTAACATGCAACTCTGGGCACTCATTAGTGATGATTAAAAACACGGTTCTGTTACGTAAGCATCCTCTACTTCATAAATAATATCTTTTGATGCTTGTGAAAGTATAAAGGAATATCCATTTTTCTTGAAATGTTTTTGTTTCAGGCATTTATAATGTTTCCATTTTTTTCCCCACATTTTCAAACTCCAGTGAATTAACTGATAGTTCAAAAATTTTTATAAAGTATTTTTTTAATGGCTGAATATGTTGCTGACTTTACAGTTTTGTCAGCTTTAATAAATTATATGAATAAATTTATTTCTGTGATGCATTTGACATTTTTATTCACCTCTATTACATTTATTTTTTTATTTTAATTTCTGCTGAAACAAACACAAAATCATATCAGGTAAACAAATAAAAAATTTTAAGATTTGTAACCAAAAATAAAATATATCACATATTTTAGAAAAATTATAATCACTGTTCAACTTTTTTAAATCATGTAAATAAAAAAAGTGCTAACTTGCCTCAGTTCCCCTTAAAATATTAGAAAAGAAGAAATGTTAAATATTTTTAAAATGTATGAAGCGGCAAGTTAGCACTTTTGAAAAATTCTAAGATTTAATCTGATTTTTTGTAAAAAACAATAACATAAATTTATAACATAATTACATAATTAAGTTTTAAAAGCTTTGATAAAAAAAAAAGTAAAAAAAAACAACAACACATTTTTAATTTATTTATTCAAAAAAAATATTCCATATCAAGTTAAAAACAACTTTTACATAAGTAATTTATCAGTTTTCATGTTGGTAAATTCATTTTGAATTAAAAACAACCGAATATACTAAACTTTTATAGATACACAAAAAAATTGGAAATTTATCAACTTCAAAATTGCATATCATCACTATAAATTAACTAGAAACATAATTTTTTTATTTATTTATTCACAAATTTATCTGACTTTCTGAAAAAATAATTTTTATGGACTTTCTCACTCACTCTTTTGTTTATACTAAACTTCTAATGCAAGTAGGACATGACTTCTGCAAAGAGTTTCCCAGATTGGGCTACTTTTTAACATCATGACACTTGACTCCTTAAAATTGTTTTTGAGAATAAAAACTACAACTAAAAGAACCATTAAGCGAAAATATTTTTAAAAACTAAAAGTAAAAAGAAAGAAAACTGGCATTATTTTACATGAAGCAATTTCAAATATAAAGATTGTTGAATACATCACGTTTTTTATAGTTTTTTACTATAAGAAAATAGTAGTTGTTGTGCAATTATATTGCAGACATTTTAAATGACTAAGATGGCCGCTACTTTAAAGTTTTAAAATCAAATTTGAAATTATTTTGATAACACAGACAAATTTTGATGTTTTGAATGATTCATTTCAAGTGCAACGGATACATTTTTCTGTCTAATGGTAACATGGAATCAGTAAACATAGAATTAGTAATGTAGTATACAATCAAGCTCTCAGTCTTACAGTAATTCAGCCTTGAAAAACAGTTTAGTTTGAATTGTATTTTATCTTTGTTGTTTTTAGAATTGTGTTTGTTCCATTGTAAGCAGTTGTTGCCAGAACTTCTCTTGTTTTTATGACTCATATTTGCTGACCATTGATTTGTGCCCAATCTGGGTATTAAAAAAATATACTATTCTTTGTATCTTTATTATAAATTTCATTCATTTTTAACTTATAAGTACTTATTAATTACTTTATTAGGTACTTATTTTGTATTTGTCAACTGACTAAAAATTGTGTTTTAATTACTGTGTCTTCTGTAATAATTCAAATGTAAACAATAAAAATAAAAAAGGTGCAAGTATCAGATAAAATGAATAATACCTGTAGTGAAAAAAAATTTAGTTTTGGCAAATTTTTGGTAAAATAAAAGAAAATTTTAAGAATTTAGTGATATATATATTTTTTTATATAAAGCTATTTATTGGGTGTTGAGTATTTTTTTTGAAAAAAAATATTTTTAGTTATTAAACTGATTTAGTTAAAATATAAATATTTAATATAAATATTTGAAAACTTTAAGTTTGGTTACAGGAATAGAAGATCCACCATCTCAGCGTGGTATTATCCCTCGTGCATTTGAGCATATATTTGAAAGCATTCAAGTTTCTGATAATTCAAAGTTTCTTATTCATGCTTCTTATTTAGAAATATATAATGAAGATATCAGAGATTTATTGGTATGTATTTTTTTATATTTAATGTTCTGTTTTTTATTTTTTTGTTTAAAACTTGAGAATTAAAAGCTATTTTCTCAAAAACCAAGCAATGAGAAAACTGCTCTCTAAGTTAGTAAACAACCAAGGTTGATATTTGACCGGGACCAGGGAAGGGTTTGTGACCGGGACTGCATAAACATTTATTACTCTTAAAGTACTTTTTTTTTCAAAATTTATGTTTGATTTTATATATATATGCATTTATAAACATCATTACGATCAACATGATCATCATCATCACCATCATCATCATCATGATGATGATCATCATTATGATCATTAACAGCAGCAGTCATCATCTTTGTCATCATCATCATTAACAGCAGCAGCAGCAGGTTTTAACCTTCCTTATTTATGCTGTTTTTTTTATGCTACTTACATTTACTATTTATTAAATTCTGGGATAAATATATGCCAGAATTTAATAAATAGTAAATGTAAGTATAAAATTATAATATATAAAGAATTATAGATTTATTTCTAGCCTCAGCTATCAACCCCTGCTAAATCTTACAATTTTGCCGGGGCTGGATTTGCAAAAAGTCTCATTTTTTGCGGGGGGCCTGGTTGTTTACTACTCTAAGTTTCTTCTCGTATTACGGTTTTATTGTCAGAATATTGAAAAAAAGTAATACAAAAACACTTATAAGTTTATGAATGTGAGTTTGTCTAAGAAACATATGTTGAAATCAAAATTTTGGGGCATAATATCACTGTCGAATAACTCAATATATTGTATTATGACTTTATCATAATATCTCCTTGTTTGAGTCAAATTTTATTTAGCTGATTAATCAGCTGTTGTTATTTCTTAATTATCAACATTAGTACACCAATTGGTTCATTCAACTTTGTCTCTTTTTAGCCTCCCCATTGTAAAATAGTGCTCTTATTTCCTCATTTTTTATGTATTCTTAGACCTAGAGATCTTTTCTCATTGAAAAGTCTTTTTTTCAGATCTAAAAAAATATTTCAGATTTCTTCATGTTTAGGGGACCAACAACTTTTTCTTTTCTTTTTGTTGTTAAACTCAGAATTTGATAATTGTTCTAATAGTGTGAGTAACTAGGATGCACCTTTAAGGTGATAATATTATTAAAATATAATTGTACTATAATATCTTTATTTCATAATATAAAAAGCCCAGCATTTAACAATCAACAATAGACTAATTAAGGTGTTCATTAGGCTGAGTTGGCTTTAAAATAATGATTTTTAGACAAGGATTTGGTTGTAATTATGTTTTAAGCAATCGTTATGCTTACATATCTTTAAATAAGAGCTTGATTGCTCCCATTGTTATTAGACAAAGGTTTGGTTGTTTTCATGTTTTTAGACATTGGATTGGTTGCTCCCATGTTTTTTAGAAAAGTACTGCCTCTACTATATAATATAATATAGTGTAAAACTTTACTATATAATATAATATAGTGTAAAACTCTACTATATAATATAATATAGTGTAAAACTTTACTATATAATATAATATAGTGTAAAACTCAGAAGCTTATTGCTTTTAAATTTAGTTTAAAAGTTATACAACATCAACATTGATTTTCTATGTAATAAAAAGTTAAAAGTTTGATCAACCATAGCTCAAGACAAAAAAATTTTTCCATTTATTACTAGCATCTTTCTATGTAATATTGAGCATGATATTTTGATCACTGCTTTAATTCCTCAGAAAATAGCTTTTAAGAGTTTCAATAAAAGTAAAAAAATGAAAATCAACAGTTATGTTTAGAATGAACACATTATATTAGTGATCTTATAGATTTTATATACTCTAGGGGATAGATCTCAAGGCTAAGCTAGATGTTAAAGAACATCCTGACTCAGGTATATATGTAAAAGGGCTAACAAAATCAGCTTGTCACTCTATTAAAGACATGGAGAAGCTAATGAAAAAGGGAAGCCAAAACAGATCTGTTGGTGCAACATTGATGAATGCTGATTCATCAAGATCTCATTCTATTTTTACAATCTATGTTGAAACATGTGAGCTTGGGGCAGATGGAAAAGAACATATTCGTGCTGGAAAGTTAAACCTTGTTGATTTAGCTGGAAGTGAAAGACAAGCAAAAACTGGTGCAACAGGTGAGTTTACTGTGGTGCAACAGGTGAGTTTACTGTGATTTTTATCTTATAAAATGATTTTCAATTTTTAAAAACAGTGAATAAAAATTATGTTTCCTTTATAAGCCTCAACAGTTTTTAGTATTAATGTAAATATTTTTCCTTAAGTTTCAAAAAAGTAAAATAAAATAGAGATAAAATAAATAGTATAGATAATTAGAATTAATTAAGATAATATTAATTAATGTATATATTTTTCACAAAAAAAAAAGTGAAGTTAAACTTTACATAGATAGAAAAGTTAAATAGTGGAGTTTAACTTCATATAGATAAAATTATTAGAAAAATGTTGCGATTGGTGAAGACTTTTATTTAGTACTTTTTGTTTTTCCAGATAATTCTTTAAATTTCGCTTAAAACATCAGTTATTTTAATTTGACTAATTTGTATCAATTTATATTAATTTAAAACTAAGAGTTGTTCAAGTTGCTTAACACATTTTTAACTTAAACCATATCTTTAGGAAGCTCATATTTTTATATTGCTTGAATCCTTTGGTGGATTCATGAAAAGTCATAAAATCATAGTAGTTCAATGTTTGTGGATTTCATTTTACCTCATTTATTTAACTTGGTTGTATATCGGATTGATTTCTAGATATACCATTAGTTGTACTGCATACCATCGTCAATAATTAAGTTGTCATACTAATATTTAATTTCATTGTGAATTTACCTATATTAAGTATCTATATTAGATTACCAGTATGGCAATGTTCAAGTTTGTCCTTCATTTAACTCAAATGTTGATATTATTATGTGGCGGAAGGTATGGATGAAAAGTTGCAATTTGACAAGATTTTAGTGTCTATATCAGAAATATTGTTAACATATATGATGAACAGCACTTGGCCTACATCTAAGAATTTTCAAAAAATCTTTTATACAAGTCAGATTAGATCAGTCAAATTATTTGACATGATGTAAATTGAACGAGATGTTTAAATGATATACTATCACAAAAACTTTAACAATTTTTTGATATGTTTTACTAACAGGTATATTTTAATAAAATTTAGTAAAAATATCTTTGTGCTAAATGATTTTCTGTGCACAGTAAATAAGTTTGTTTTAAAAGTGTTGATTGAATCAAATTTTTTCACATTTTTTGAATTATTTTAGCTCTAAGAAAATAATCGAAAAAAAGAAAGAAGTAAATTATTATGTTATAGGAAATGAAATGAAAAGATTTGGCAGTACACTGATAAGTAATTTGATCACTGTACCAATTAATGAGCTCTTAAAGTTCATTTATTGGTGCAGTCGTCAATATATAAAAATTCAAAAAGAAATAGCATTAAAGGAGAGAAAAGGTTGCTTCAACAGATTTTTTTTTTGCGTTAACATAAAACCTTATTTTCTCATGTAAAATTCAACTGGTGTTGAAGCAAAAAAAGAACCGAAAAATTTTTTATTTAGTAAATAAAGTGTCTTTTTTTATTATTTTCTTTTTTTTAATTTAAATTTAGTCCTAAATTTAAATATTAATATAAGTATAAGGTATTTTAAATATGAATGTATAAATTTATTAAGAAATACTTTTTATTTAAATATAAACGTTTTAAGTCTATTATTTAAACAAAAATTAACAATATTTTAAAATAAGACAAATCTATGTCTCATGTAAATCTTTTGTATTTAAATTTTCTCTGAAATTCTGTTAACCCTGTCGTTTACTCTCCTATAGTTATAATTTTTATGAGAATGCTCACTAATATTTATATTTATGCTAATACACAGGTGACCGCCTTAAAGAAGCTACAAAAATTAATTTATCACTTTCTGCTCTTGGGAATGTTATATCAGCACTTGTTGATGGAAAATCTAAGCACATACCATATAGAGATTCAAAATTAACTCGTTTGCTCCAGGTGTGGTGATAGTAATATAATTTTTTTTTTTTTTTTTTGTTTTAAAAATAATTTTTTTGTTATAATTTTTTTAATGGTATAGGATTCATTAGGAGGTAATACAAAAACGTTGATGGTAGCATGTATTAGTCCAGCTGATAATAACTATGATGAAACACTCAGTACTTTGCGATATGCTAATCGTGCAAAAAATATTAAGAATAAGCCAAAAATAAATGAAGATCCTAAAGATGCTCTTCTTCGAGAATATCAAGGAGAAATAGCTCTTCTTAAGAAAGTCCTCACTGGAGAGTTGACAATGACTCCTGAAATTTTAGGTACACTGTTACATTACTGCTACATTTTTTGTAATAAAAAAAGATTATTTAACATGTTTGTTTTGCCTACTAAGAAAAAATTACATAACTAAAAGTAAAATTTAAAATACTCTCAGTAATCTTTCATAATTTTCTTCATATTCAAAATGGTCACATATTACTGCATTAAATATTTTGCTTATCTGTCTATATAACATCTGTAAACATTTTTTTGATTCTATTCAAGTACAACTGATATTATAAAAGAGTTTTTATTAAAAAAGAAATTTTTGTTTGCTACATAAATTTTTTGTAATTAAAATTGTTTAACATATGTTTTGCCTACTGAGAAAAAATTTCATTACTAAAATTAAAAAAAAAAGTATAAAATTTAAAATACTCTCAGTAATATTTCATAATTTTCTTCATATTCAAAATAGTCACATATTGCTGCATCAAATATTTTGCTTATCTGTCTATATAACATCTGTAAACATTTTTTTATTAATTCTAATCAAGTTCAACTGATATTATAAAAGACTTTTTATTAAAAAAGAAATTTTTGTTTGGTTTTTATACATTATTTATTATTACTTTACTATGCCATAACTTTTTTCTGAAAGTTTACTTCTAGCTAAATCAAACAAATTTATGGAAAATAATACATAAGTATATGTTTTTTGCAATGTTTCCTTAGCAATGTTGCCATAGCAAAAACTCAGAGAGCTTTTTAACTCAAAACTCATTTTAAAAACTTCTTTAAAGTTAATTTTTAATTGGCAATGATTGTTGGCATGGGATGGAAAAATCTTAAAATTAATATACAAGGTGAACAAATATGTAATTAACTTTATACTTTATATTAGTATAAAATTAAGTAAACATTTTTTATATATTAGAACCATAATAGGGTTAGTGTGGGGTTTTTTTTGCAAATTTTTTTGAAAAAATTTATACCAATAATTGTTTTAATATATTTTTGACTTTTGCAAAAATATATTAAAACAATTATTGGTGTTTGGAATCACCCAGAATGCATTCTATTTTTGTACAGTCTAGAAAAGACACCACAAAGTATATATAATATTATATATATATATATATATATATATATATATATATATATATATATATATATATATATATATATATATATATATATATATATATATATATATATATATATATATATATATATATATATATGTATGTATGTATATATATATATATTCTAAACATATATATAATTATTATATATATGTTTAAAAAACAATGTTTATCAATTTTCCTTGCATTTTAAACAGATTTTTCAGACCCTTATTGATGCATGCGACAGGGAAAACAAATGTAGCAATCCAATAAGTTTTTAACATAGGAAATATGAGTTTTTGAAATATGAATTATGAAATAATGTATTTTAAACATTCAGATAATAAAAAAAATTCTCTGTTATTAAATAAAATGTTGATGTACCTGCTGCCTTTTGTTATCCAAAATATAATTAGTGTGTGGCTGAAAAAACCATTAATCTACATCAACTCTCGTTGAGTTTCCAGAATGGAGTAAACAGTTTTTTTGCTAATTTTATAAGTTCAATTAACAATGAATTATGTCCAATAAATGGTTAAGAAGTTTTGTTTTTAGGAAAAAAATATTTTCTTGGCAACAAATTAATAATAAATCAATAAATCGCTATTAATAATATTTTACTATTCTCTATATTTAGTAGGGGTGGACTGATGCTGTACCAATTGGCATTGACACTGATAGAGTAAATGCTCAAAACATTTAAAAATCTTTAGAGCATTTTTTATCAAAGTTTTTCGATCAAATTCATCTATACATATGTTTATTTTTTTCTTTTTTATATAGTTATTTCAAAAATAAATGATTTTTTTATAGTTATTTCAAAAATCAATGATTTTTTATTAGTTATTTCAAAAATAAATTATTTTTTTACGAATATATTATTGATCAACATTGAATTCATGTGGCAAACGCTGAAATATTTTTACATATGAATGACATTTTGATTCGATTATTAAAAAAAAAATGTCATAAAAAAAGTGCATTTACTTATTAAACCAGATTTTATTGCAAAAAAATCAATACAGTAAAGTGAAATATTTTTTTGACCTTATGAACTAGTAAATGATGGATATAAAATGGATTGAAATTAACACAGTTTTGTTTTTTTATGTAAACTCCTAATAACTTTTTTACTTTTAGCTAAACTTGGCATAAGTCAAGCAAATGTGTTTAGTTCAGCAAAATCAAACGAGCAAGCTCAGCATGTTTCAAATGAAGAAGCTCTGCAAATAAAAATGGAGTATGAAAGTAAACTTGAATTATTACAAAAGAATTTTGAAGAAGAAAAGTTTAATAAAGAGAAACTAGGTATTTTATTTTGATCATAACCATAACACCAACATAAAAGACATAAACCATAATTAGGCTTAAAGTAAAAATAATGTCAGATTTTAAGTAAAATAATATGTCAGAATTTTAAGTAAAAATATTATGTCAGAATTTTAAGTTACCAAATGATTAAGTAAAATTAAATATTTTACATCATCAAAATAGAATGTGCATGTTGCGTGCAATATTGCATAGAAATTGTGTCAATAAACTCATGAGTACATTTGAGAAGATGTGTAGACCCGTGAATAGAATCAAGATCTTTACTCTACTTTTAGTTATTATTATCTAAAAATCTTTAAAAAAAAGATCTACATAATTAATATATAAATAATCTAAACTAAAACTAATAAGAAGAAGAATATTTAGAACATTTTAATCACTTTTGTTATTATATTTTCTACAGCTGATTGATTTTCAAGATTTTTTTTTCTTGAGAAAAAAAGTTCAGGCAGATGTATGAAAACCTGAAAAGAATGCATAACAGATAACATATTGGAATAATAAAAGAGAAAGTAGGAGATTGTGAGTTTTTAAGCATAACTATTCTTCCACAAGCTGAGTGTTTAATGATGATGATGTTTAATGCCTATTTCTCCTAATAAAAAATAGGTGTTAAAACAATCATGATGATGATGCTGCTGCTGCTGCTGATGATGATGATGATGATGATGATGATGATGATGATGATTTTGATTATAAATATTTTTTCCCCTCCTCAATAACTAATAAAATTATGCCAATAATAATACCAATAGTTATGTAAAAATTATAATTTAGTAAATGTAATTTACTATTACTAATTTAGTATTATTAATACTAAGTTAGTGTAAAATATTGTATGAAATAAAATGTTATAAACAAATCAAATGTACTGGTAAGTTTTTACTTTAATTTTGTGTTTTTATTTTTGCTTTTTTTACTGTCGTTAAGTGCTCTATATATTTTATGTATGCACAAAGTCTAATCATGATTTTTATGTATGCACAAGGTCTAATCATGGTTTTTTTGTATGTACTAGGTCTAATCATTAGTTTTATGTATGTGGAACTTCTAATCATGGTTTTTATACGTATACAAGCTTTTATCATGAAGCAATCAAAAAATATTTTATTTTGATCTTATTTTTAAATTTAGTCTATTTAATCTAATTAATTTTCATATTTGTACAGACCATTTGTACCCACCTCCCCTCACACAAACAATTAATACTACTTTTACAATTTTTAAAAATGACTTTCAATGTTCTCCTCCTATTTCATCCTCATTCACCTCCCCCTAAACAAATAACCTTACTTAATGTTTTTTTTATTTCTATAGATTTTCAATATAATTTAATGCCTTTATTTTTTTTAACATTTTAATTACCTCTTTTCCAAAATCCCAGACTTGAAAATGTTTACTTTTTTGAGATATTTTTATTGATATTTTTAAAAATAGAAAAATGAGCACAATTTAGTTAAAAGTAGGAAATTTTTGTTCTTTTCTTACAAAGCCAAATTATATCTGTTTAACAAAACTAAGTTAATATTGATTGTGATTCTGCAATTTTTATAGCAAAGAGAGGAAAGAGAAAATTAACAACAATAAAAATACTCAAATATCAATTTTTCAAGTTTTCTTTTCCAGATTTGGAATCTACACTCATAATTATGCACATGCACACATTTTCAGAAACTTCTGCCGGTTATATCAAAAAGTAGGGTTTATTGTTTGAGGCACATTATTATCTAACTTTAAAATCCTCGTTGTTGTTGTTGTTTCTGTTTCTTTTTAATGTATTTTATTAAATATTGTTATATGGTGTTTTTTATTGTAGTTTTTATTATGTTTGTGTCACAAAATTTTTATTTAATAATTTTTTTTTAAATAGAAGGAGAGGTTTTGGCTCTTCAGAAAGATCTGAAGAATACCCTTCATAATGCTACCTTAAAAGGATTCCACTCTGATCAAGCAGATGAAATTTATAGAGAATTTCAATTAAAAGCCAATGTCACTGATGAAGCAGTCCATGACTTACATCGTTCAGTAAATAAATTATTTTAAATTTCATCATATTTTTCCTATAATACCTATACTATTCAGAAATAGTAATTAATATATTAATTACTATTATTTATATATATATATATATATATATATATATATATATATATATATATATATATATATATATATATATATATATATATATATATATATATATATACATATATATATATATTATATATATATATATTAAAAAAACTTTTTTGTTACCACAATAAAAATCTAGATAGCACCTATCTAAATCAAAGCACTCAAGTTTTGTATTCTAAACTTCTTGCAGATGGCTATTTTAATATGATATCATTAATTTTTGGTTTGAAAAAAAAAAATTATTTATATACTAGTTAAGAACCAATAAGTTCTTATTTAGTTACCTAAATGCTGCATCATGTTTTCTCATCATCAACTTTTATTGTTAGTTTGCTAGAAATCATTACAGTTTATTGTCAATTTATTCAAAATTTTAAACTTAGTTTTAACTGTATTTAGATGGTAGCCAGGTGATTGGTGAAGAGAGAACAATGTTTAGTTTTAACTTTACTCTTGAGTCCTTAACACAAGGAGGTGGGGGAGGGAAGGGGGTTTAACAAAACATGGTATATTTTAGGTAATTTTTTTATGTTAAAATATATATATTTTTTATAAAAAAGTTTTTGTAAAAAATAAAAACTTAAAACTATTTAATTCTAGCTGTCATTTTCAGACAATTTTATCATAATTTCAATTGGATTTAATATGCTAATAAAAGTTTTATACTTTGGTGAGAAACCAAAAACTCATTTTCCACAAATAAAGATTTACAAGGTCAGCAATTTTTAAAGACTGTTTACACTGAAAGTTTTTGTTTTTGAAAGTTTCAAAAAAGGCAGATTTTCACTGATTTTTTTTTTCCTTTAGTTTTAGATAGAAAGTTTTTGCTAACAATAATAAAAAATTAACAGGGGAATGGGGGGGGGAAGTCTTAATAAGCGTGTAGTTAGGAAAGTTTTCTAAAAGTTTATAAATGCCTCCCCCTCCCCCCCACACACACACACACCAACACGCACACTTTTATTAAGGACTCAAGAGTAGTTAGTAACCAGGTAATGGGTGAAGAGTGAACAATGGTTTGTATTAACTTTAGTTAGATGGTAACCACATGGTCGTTAAAGAGAAAACAATTTTTAGTTTTAAGTTAGATGCTAACCAGGTGATGGATGAAGAGAGAGCAATGTTTAGTTTTAAATTTAGTTAGATGGTAACCAGGTGATCGGTGAAGATAGAACAATGTTTAAATTAGAAACAGTTAAATAGTTGTGTGAAAACTTTTTATTGAGAAGTTTTTTAACTCATCATATATATATATATGATGAGTTAGTTGCAACTGTTTTACATTATAAATCTTTTACATCAGAAAATAAATGGAGAGCAGGGTTATCTGAAATAAAGATACTTACTGAAGGATTTGATAATCTTAAAAAAATATAAATACCCAAGCACAAGATAATTATTCTTTTGGAATATATTACACTTTATCACAAACAATAATTCCAATGGGAGGCTTGAGTTTAAATTACATTTTTTTGAAAAGCTTAAAAAAATATTTTTAAAGTTTTTGGGTGAGTTTAATTAAACCATAATTTCAAAAATGATGACTTAGCATAAACATCTTTTATTTCTCTCTCTCTTTTTTTTTCTTTCTTCGTTATATTTGATGTAGGTAATCTGTAGTTCTTGAACTAGACTGAGCAATGAAAGCTCTTAAAGAAATATGAAATATTTCTATTGAAAAAACTTTTTATATAAAAGAGGACAACTAATAAAAACAAATAAAAATGAACAGATGTTAGAAATAAACACAGATTTTATTTTGAGAAGAAAAAGTTTATACACAAATCATAGTCAACCATAAGTTTATTGTTAAAGTATACCTAAAACAAAACAGTACAGGAGGATAAGTAACCATAAATCTTCATTAAATACAAAAGTTTAACTTACTTTAAAACAAATATACATATGCATAGATATATCAATATTTAAAATGAATAAATATAAAATGATAGGAGGTATAAGATATAGAAAAAACATTTTATATTGCTTTTGTGTAATCATAATTTATGTAGTGGTGGTAATATACTTCTCCTCAGAATAGCGCTTATTATTACTGGTGTTTCAAAGAGGCTCAGCACCAATACCTATTTTATCATATCAGATAAACATCATTGCCATTTATGCTTTACCCCGCAATTTATGCCTACTCCATACTGCAGTAAAAAAGGACTTCACTACAAACAGCCAAAACCCTAACTTCATCAAAATTTGTAAAGCACTAATATTTTTGAAGAAATAATATGGATAGTGAGAGATGTGAATTCAATACCAAATAGTATAACAAATTTAAAATAAAATAAGTAAAATATATATAGAGATAAAATAAAATAAATATATAGAATAAAATATAAATAAAAAAATTTAATAAAAATGACAAAAAACAATAGACTAAAATGTAAACAGTAATATAAAATAATAAAATTATTATATTCTAATAGAAAACCACAAAATATTCAACTACACTTCCAATGTGATAAATGCTGTTAGATAAAACTTTATTATAAACACAACAAGTTGCTAAAACTGATACTTATTGGATAAATAAAGCCGATAAGATATAGAAAAATAAATAAAATTATAAAAACAACAAAACCATACAAAGTTTAATGCAGCCATCAGGCTTGGTCGGGAAGCGGGAGCGATCGCTCTCGATTGCTGACCACGTAAATAATATTTAGTTGCGAAAAGCTGGCCAAATTTTTAGTCGTTTTGAGAACATTTTAAAAAGCAAAAAAAAAAAAGCAACAAAGATTAATTGGACCGATTAGAAACAATTACAAAAAAAAAAAAAAAAAAAAATAGGCAAATAAAATATCTTTAAACGCAAAAAAACTTAAAGCTAAATAAATTACATTTAGAACAAATATTTTCAAAACATCGCTCTTTTATAATTTTTTTTATAAAATTAGGCAATGTTTTTTATATAAAGTAACAACTTACGATTGTTTAAAAGGGAAACAAATATTCTTTATTTAACTAAGTTTACAAGTTTTAATTTTACTTAAGCTAAATTATTTTATAATCTCTTTTAAAATAAAAAATAAGAATATACTAATAAAATCTATGATTTATAATAAACTTTTATAATTTTATCAATTTAATTAATATATTTAAAACATTTATTTTCGTAAACAAATAATATATATTCTTAAAACAATGCTAGAAATCTCAAAATGTAACAAATCGTGAATAATACAATTTCTAAAACATTTCAACAGAATACTCTAGAACTTTATTTTGCTTAACCAGCGTATTTTTTGAACTAATAGAATTAGTTGGTTCGTTAATTTGGCGGGTTTTTAGTGTTCGCAAATATTCTTTTTATTCTTTCACACAAAGATGTTTTGAGAACATTCAAGTTTTTTATGTTTCCATGTATGTCCGTAAAACAAAATTTTTTGTTTCGTACATAAACTTAAATGTTCTCAAAACGACTAAAAAACCTGGCCAGTTTTATGCAACTAAGTATAATTTCCGTGGTCAGTATTCGAGAGTGATCGCTCTTGCTTCCCGACCAAGCCTGAGCCATAGATACCAAGATTGAATGTTGCTTACCAATCAAAAAAGCAGGTTTTAAATAAAATATAACAACAATGACAAAAACAGTAAACAAAACCATTACAACGTCAAACATCAAAAACTACATGGGTGGGGAGATAAGAAATTATATATGTATAAAAAATGACAACCTAAAAACTAATATTTTTACATGTATATACACATATATGTATACATACATATATACTTACATATGCATATATATACACACATACCAATGGTTGTCGAAGCATTTATTAAATGTTCCAGTACTATAGAGTCAAATATTACTAGAAACCAGCGTAAAAAATTTATCCCTGAACCATATCCAGCCAACCTAGCCATACTTCAAGTCAAATGTTATTTCAATACAAAAACTTAATACATACTTCAATATAAATTGTTTTTATAGTTTTATATATATTTCTATATCTCATTAGCTTGAGTTTATTTATCCAATAAATACCAATTTTTGTAACTTGTTCTGTTTATGATAAGGTTTTATCTAACAGCATTTATCACATTGGTAGTTTAGTTAGGAACTTTGTTTCATTGAGTATTTTTGTATTTTTATATACAATAATAACTTAATACAATAATAAATGAATTATTCTTCTGGATTATTGTACTAATCACAAACAATAGTTCAATGAGAGGCTTGAGTTTAAGTACATTGTTTTGAAGAGCTTGAATTATAAAAATATTTTTTAAGTTTTTTGGTGAGTTTATTTAAACAACAATTTTAAAAATGATGACTTAACATTAGCATCTTTTTTTTTTTTTTTTTTTTTTTTGTGTGACATCAATTACAAATTGTCAACAAAACCAACAAATCTCAAGTGAAGCAGGTTAAGCTATTTTTTTTTTAGTCTTTGTTGACTTTTAAATTTATCAATATTATGCTAAGTGCTGTTTAATAAAATATTACACAGCACATTACACTGAAAAAAATCATGATGGACTGTGTGTGTGGATTGTCCATCCTGTGTTGTCATTTATTAATGACACTATAGGATATATGTATAAAATGTATAAAGTAAAAAGAAAAGTCAAAGTATAATGAAAGAAAAGTTTGCTGCTCCATCCCAAACCCTTAGTCAATGTAGCGGCACTCCCTTGCAGCAGCAGGCTATAAGATAGAAATCATCAATTAAAAAGATATTTGAGCAAAAAAATGCAAATTAAAATGTAGCCACAACTATGTGTAAAACTGACACAGCAGTTGATTGCATAATTGTGAGTGTAATCATAACTGTGAGTGAAGTCATACCTGTGACTGAAGTGATACTGTGAGTGAAGTGATAACTGTGAGTGAAATGGTAACTGTGAGTGAAGTGATAACTGTGAATGAAGTCATAACTATGAGTAAAGTGATAACTGTGAATGAAATCATAACTGTGAGTGAGGTGATAACTGTGAGTGAAATCATAACTGTGAGTGAAGTCATAACTGCCAGTGAAGTAATAACTGTGAGTGAAATCATAACTGCAAGTGAAGTCATAACTGTGAGTGAAGTCATTGTGAAAGGCAAAATCTAGTTTTAAATGCTTCACATGGTTTTAAATGATATTTAAGAACTTATTAAAGAATAAATATATTAAATAAATAAAAAATATATTAAATAAAAAAAAGATAAAATTTAAACAAAATGTGTGTCTAATTTTGTTTAAATTTTATCTTTTTTTTATATAATATATTTGTTACTTTTATTGCATGTTTATCTGTTCTCCAGAAGTTGATAAAAGATAAGATACGAAAACATAAAACAAAGCTAAATATTAATTATTTTTATTTTGGTCCTAATAGTTTAGCGATAAAATAAAGCTATATTTTTATAGGCTTCTCAAAAAAGTCCTACAAATGAGAGTAAGAAATCTGAGTCGCCATCTAAAATACTGACAGACGCTGCAAAAGATGTTGCAAAAGATGTTGTGAAAGATGTTGCAAAAGGAATTGGTTTTTTACGTGATAAACTGGTTAGAGAATTCTTTAATAATTTCAATTTTTTATTTTTATTTTTGTATTTAAATCATAATTTTCTTGAACAATTTATTAAAATATTTATAAATTGTTCAAAATATATTCGTATATGTAATGGAAATTATTAATAGTTATTTTTCCACAGTTAAATGAGCATTTCTCATAGTGCTTTTTTTGGTTTACTTCTTTTGTTGTATTTGTAACAAGTCACTGAATAAGGTAGTTTAAATTCTTGGAAGACCACATTTTTAAAAGTTATATACAGCAATTTGGTTCGAAACATGCTTGTATCTAGTAAACAATCTTCAATGTTTTCTTATCCAATGCCTTATGTAAAAATTGTGATTTGATATTCTTGTAAAGAGGGAATTTCTTGAATGTTTTTTTTTTCATATGCAAAAATCTTTTTGCGAAACATAACATAAAATATAACAATGTATACAATTTAAAATTGGAATTTATTCAGCATTTTAAAGGTTGCCATAAAAAGGCCAAGGTCTGATGTTGCCATAAAAATTTTAAGTTTTTTTTTTAGTTTGTAAAATTTTTTAAAATTTTATAAAGAAATTCACATTATACTTTTGTATTTTTATCTCACATAATTTAAAGGATAATCTTAGATGATTAGCTAAATAACTTATTATTTAGGATCAGCTTCAGAAATAATAATTATTAAGATCAGCTTCATAAATAAGAAATAAAAAAAAGGAAAATATTTGTGTAGTATAAATGTGATAAATAAATTTAAGTTATATTGGGTTATTATATTTAGAGTCTTATTTGATTTATATTCTCATTTTGACTCAGAGATTTTAATCTAAAAATAAAAATAATAGATTGTTATAAATAAATTTATTATAGTAATTAACTAGATCTTTTATAGAGTGGCTCTCAACAAAGTATTTCAGTTTCGATTTCAAAAAAAGATGATATCTATGGAGAACCAGACATCAAGGTTTCAGAAAACACTACTACATCAGCTCCATCAAATTTTATTTCAAATATGGCAGCTGTAATTCAAGAGGAAACAGTTAAGCGTCTTAATGCTCTCCAGCAACAACTTGTAGGCAGTGAAACATCTAACAATAGTAAAGAAGAACTAAAATCAAAACATAAAAAGCGAAAAGAGCATGCTAGACAGAGACAAAGTAGAATGGTTAAAGAAATACAAAAATGGGAAGGCGAAGGTAATACTTATGAATAGAATCATTAAAGTTTATTTTATTCTAAACTATATGTATATTTTTTTAACCTAGATATCGTTTATAAATCTTCTTCAAACATAAAAAATAATTTTGGTTTTTTTGTTGTTCTGTTTGTTTTAAATGCTTACATAATATCAAAGCTTAAAAATAGCTTATTTCTGATTTTATTTCTAAATATTTTTCATTAATTAAGAGCTAACTATAGAGTAGTTTAATAAATTCGTATTTTAATAAACATATTTTAAAAAACTGTAGACATAAAACCTGGTTTAATCTGTAGGGATTATGCTGAAAGTATATGATAATATGCAAGAGGAAATTAAAATAAAAAATAATGCCATTAACGAAATTCAGTCTGAGCTCAAAGCTGCAACTAGTGAAATTTCTGATCTGCAGAGTGAGTTTCAAACAGAGCGTGAGCAATATTTAGAAACAATTCGCATAATGGAACGTCAAATATTACTCCAGAAGCAAATCTTAGAAAAGCTACAACCTACGATTCGCAGAGACTGCAACTATTTTAATATCGATAAAATTAAAGCACAGAGTGAATTCGACGAAGAGTCTCAGCTTTGGGTGATTCCTGACTTGTATATTGAACGAACAACTTTACCCAAGACTGGACCAGGTAAAGAAAGCCTATCATCAATGAAAATATCTAATCCTAATCTTACGCAAGAAACTTATGAAAACCGCAGCGCAGAACAAGATCGTAATGCAATTCAATGGGAACGCGAAAAGACGACTAATAATTATTTTAAACCTAAGCGTGCAGAAGTATTGTTGTCATCGAGTGCGGTAAATGGAACTGGTCTGTTTGCTGATGCAAATAAACATTTTGTAATTAAAAACGACGTGTTTACGGAACGTCGGCCACAAAAATTAGAAGCATTACCGGCATCTGTGTTTGAGAAAAAGAAAAAGAAAAACAAAAAAGATGCCGCATAAAGCATTTAAATGGAAGCAACTTAGTAAATGTTTCTTTAATTATTAATTTAAAAAGCCTTCAACCTTAAATCGAGACTTGTAAATAAATACCAACCTCAAACCGAGACTTGTAAAGAAATACCAACCTCAAACCGAGACTTGTAAAGAAATACCAACCTCAAACCGAGACTTGTAATACCACCATTGGTTATGATTTTTGTGATACAGAAATGCAAAACTTATTTAAGTTTTGTTTAAAACATGTCTAAATTGGTTTTTTTTTTTTTTTTTGAAATATGAAAAAGATCGTTTTATATCGTTGAATAAACAATAATCGATTTCATCTATATTTTTTATTTTTCCTATTTATAGAAGAAATTTTGAAGATTAAAAAGACGTTTTAACAAAATAAATGAAAATTACGGTTTTATAATATAATAGTTTTTTCAATTTTTAAAATGGTTTTTATCATGGCAAGTTCAATGTTCAACGTTTATTTGTTTCGAGTAAACAAACAGAACTTTTGTTACGAACTTTTCAAACTATTTCCAGCATTTGTACATATGTAAATATATATATATACTATAAATTATTTTTTAATTGATATTTTTTAAGTTTATTTATTTCATTATATATGCATGGTTTTATTTGTTAATATTCAATTTTTATTTTAGTCTCATAGTGATTTGGTGTCCATCTCTAATTATTTTATAATTAGAGATGGACTCTAATTATTTTATAATAAATAAAAAACGTTAATTAATGATAATTTTATGGCTGAGACATTAGAAAATTAAAAATACGTAAATCTTTCCTGCGGACAAAATTTGACATAAGTTTCTTTTACTGTCTTTTTAGCTCAATAGTTCCCAACCAGGGGTTTATGGGAACGTTCTGATTATAATAAGTGGCTTGAATCTGACTAAGTGAGTTTTATGTAATAAGTAACTTTTAATGTAAAAGTTCATTAAACTTAAAGGTTATTAAATTTAAACTATAAAACTAAACTTTAAACAAATAAAAATCTTTTATAGATAATATTAAAGTTGACTGATTATAACTGATTATATATATGTGTGTGTTTGTTTGTGTGTGTGTGTGTGTGTGTGTACACACACACACATATATATATATATACACGACGATGTGATATATGTATATATGTGTATGTATGTGTATATGTATATATATATATATATATATATATATATATATCTATATATATATATATATATATATATATATATATATATATATCTATATATATATCTATATATATATATATATATATATATATATATATATATATATATATATATATATATATATATATATATATATATATATATATATATATATATATATATATACACACACACACGACCTTGTAATAATGGTTAGAGGTTTGCTGCAAGGTCCAACTATGTATACAACGTGTTTTTGCACCTCGTCTAAAAGAGAAAGGGAATCATTAAAATATCCGCCCCAGATATGGTAACAGTATTTGTACAAGGACAGATTTGGGATTTATAGAGATAAAGAATAAAATCCGGAGTAAGAAAGTGTCGAGCATGATTAAGAGATACAACCTTAGCAGATGCTAATTTAGCAATGGATTTGATATATGATTTCTAAGAAAGATCAGAAATAAGAGTTAATCCTAGAAGATGAAGATGACTCATCGAGTACATTACCATTCACAAATAAAGGAAGATCTAGATTATTTCGATAACAATTAGCTGAAAAAAAATTGAGTTTCATCTGAGTTAAAGTTCACCAGCCACTGTGAGCCCCATACTGTAACTGAAGTGAAATCCTTTTCAGGATCAAATGCAATCAGAGAGTGTTATTAAGACAAAAATAACACTTCTGAGAACTTCTGCAAGGCTATAAGAGGTATGTTATTTGGACCATAAGCTGCAAAAAAGTCTAAGCAGAATATTACTTTAGATACAGAAGCTGGAGTGATACGAATGTCAAGCAATGGATCAACTTGTTTGTTGGCTATATCGGGTAGAATGCAACTAGTGGAATCAAGAGATGATATTGATGAAAAGTTGTTAGCAAATAATTTAGCTTTGTCTTTAGGTAAGGTGAAAAAATTGGAAACATATAGGAGAGGTGGAATAACAGATTTGCCCTTATAACAGAAACTGTTAAAGATTCTGCAGAAATCACGAGAACCTTTTTTTTTGAGTTGAAATGCATGGTTTCTTGACCTGAGAATAGCGGGTTTTAGTTTCGTACGAATCTTACGTACAAAAAACAGTCAAAACCTAGGAGCTTACCAAGAGCGTCGTTGCCGCGTTCCGGGAGACCATCGAAGCTCAGTGACCGGGACAAAAGTAGCATATTCAGAATCTGCAGAGAGAATCCTAGGCACAGTTACAAAAAGCTAGCACAAATCTTCAACGAGTCGAAAAACAATCATCATGTGAGTAGAGTGCTTGTTAGGCAAACATTGCTGCAAAAAGGTATTGGAGCGTACATTGCAGCAAGAAAACCTATTTTATCAATCATAGACCGACGTAAACGGCAAATATGGTCAAAAGAAAGATCGAGCTGGACTGTTGAAGACTGGTTAAAAGTCATTTGGAGAAATAAGGTTAATTTTAAAGTTGTAAACCGCATGGGCAGAATATATGTCAAAAGATTTGCAACGGAGAAATATTCAGAACGGTTTTTGCAACCACATCGACAAGGCGGTGGAGGTTTAATTGGTATTTGGGGGTGTTTTTTTCACAGCTCACACTTACCAATACCTTTTCAAGGTATTGGTATGTGTAAGCTGTACGAAGGCCGAATAAATCAGTACACCTACATAAGAAATTCATCTTTCAACAAGACGGGGCTCCAGCATATACAGTTAAATCAATCAAAAAATATTTTTTGCAGAAAAAGAATAATGTAACCCCTTGGTGCCCTAGATCACCAGATCTCAACCCAATTGAAAATATTTGGTCTTGGATCAATCTACTTACTTATCACTAAATACAATCAACTGAGCACTTAAAGCAACTTTTGAATGAGTACTGGTTGAAGGTACCTCGAGAGATGTGCATGAAATTAGTAAAATCGATGCAGAAACGAGTTTATTTTTGCTATAAAAACAAAGGCGGACATTTTAAATATTAATTTTGCATTTTTTTCTTCATTTTTTGATTGTAAAGATTCGTTTAAACTTTCGTGCTATTCATTTTTCACATGTGTATTTTTATAAAAAATTACCTTTTTTTTAATTAATATAAATAGTTTCATAACAAGTTCACATTTATTGTAAACCTAATTACTTTTTCTTTATTAAATAAAAAAAAATTAAGTCAATATCATTTTTACTTTTTTTTTATTAAGTAAAAACTAAACCTACTTGATCAAAATTACACCCTCGTTTAAACTTTCGTGAATAGCAGTATATTGATATTGTTATTGTAAAAAAAAACCTAAATGTAATACAAAATTTGATTTGTAATAATACTTATTTTGTTTAGAAAAAATTGTTTAAGATATTCAAATATAATTTAGATATTCAAAAAAAGAAAAAATAATTGTTATTTCTGTTAGTTTGAAACAGGTACCTTTTTTTTCAATAATGTAAATAAATTTAAAAAAATGCTGGATTCACCCCCTGATTAATACTCGTATTAACACCCTTTATTAGGAACTGGTCAAAGAGGAAAATGTCTTCTCGTATTAGCCCCACTTTACTACCCTTTATAGAAAAATCAAATTTGGGAGGTTTAATTTCAGGATGAATTGAAATTGGTATTTCTAAATTAGCAAAATAGTTGTGCATTTTTTGGATTTGAGCTATACTACATATGAAAAGATTTAAGTCCTAGCTTCTTGGAGCATTATTTTTTCACTCTTTTGAACTAGATTAGCCCACAGGTGTTCAATTGGATTGAAACCTAGACATTTACCCGGCCATTCAAGTAACTCAGTTTGCTTTTAAACGGGGTAAAACAAGCAATTTTTGATCTTTGAGTTAGCTAACTTCCAGACATGGAGCAAACTCCAAACATTTATATATTTATACTTATAATTTTTGAACACTGAAATATTTTTCTATGAAATATAAAATTTATCGATAAATAATCTTGTTAAGAATAGTACAAAAAATATTTTATCAACTTGCTGCTCTCACGTTTGGGACAAGTGGAAATTTTGAGGCTTTTTATTCCCAATCTCCAATAATCGCAATATTTTGCAAAGCATCCTTATTTGACATAAGTATAAGCATATAATGTTTGGAGTTTGCTCCATGTCTGGAAGTTAGCTCAAAGACCAAATAATGCTGGACCCGTCTATGCTTCTGGATCAAAAACTCTTTTGCTTTCTTTGACGTATACTTGATGACGTATGCTTTGACGTATGTTGTTGGAAAACTCCAATAAAAGTTTTTCAGTTGCTGTCATAAACCTCTGAGTCCATAATACCAACAATAAACTTGAGCTTTCCTGTTCTAAGCCATTGATCTCTAGACCATAATATTGCCTCCACCAAATTTTACTGCTACTCAAATGAGTGAGTGTGAATGTTTCGTCTTTTTTCTCCATACTTTTTAAGCTCCATCAAACTTGAGAAAGTTAAATTTTGCTTCGCCAGTTCACAAAACTTTCTTCAAGCTTTCATAAAACATAAGATTTGTGGTTTAACAAGTCAAAATCTAGTCTTGTGAAATCTGAACGAGCTTAAAATGAGAGTATGGAGAAAAAAGAGTCTTCGAAATATTAACATTTGAAGAATAAAAATAGTTAAGATATTTTTAAATTTCATGCAGTCCTTTTTTTTTAATATGCAATCTTAATTCATGAGAACTCGTCTTTTATAAATTTAATGACGTGCAAATGTACCTGCTAATAAAACTTTAAATATTCATCACTGTCATATAAAACTTAATTTTTTGTAAATCCATTTGATGATACAAAGAAAAATTAGATTTTTAAAATTAAAATTATAAATATTACTGCAATTATATTTATAAAACTATTATTATATTTTATCAATAATTGTTTTATCAATAATTGTTTAATTTTTTTTGCTGCATTGAGATCCCCCACCCCCTTCCCTTATCAATGAATTTTTTGTTTATTTAGTCGGCAAATTTGACCCTTTAGACAAGTCAGTCATCAAATGTAGACCTTTTAGACCAGTCAGTCGGCAAATATAAAAAACGAGGACTTTTTTTTTTAGCAAAACTAATAATGGCACCCCCCCCCCATCCTCAAGCGACAGCTACTCGCGTCGGATCTAGTTATGACCATGCAAAATTTTCGACCCCAAAATGAGAGGATCGGAAATTTTGCATGGTTATAACTTTTATATTTTAAAATACTTTTAAATAAGATTTAAAACTTGTCGATGAATTTAAATTTAGTATAAAATAGTAAAGTTAAGAAATAAAATAAAAGTATTAAACTATTACATTTTTAGAATTGGTTTTTGAAATTAATGCTCTAGAATTTTTTTGAAAATCTTAATTTTGTTAGTAGGTTTGTAGGTCTCTTTTATATCAGTTTTTTTTTCAAACCAAATACTGCTGAATTAAACTCCCGAGGTACATCAATTCAAAAAAAAAACAAAAAATAACGAAAAAACCGTTTGTGAAACTAGATTCGGACTTCACGTGTTGGAGTTTTTCAATTGAATTTTAAACTTTCGAGTGTGTTGTAAACAAAATTGAAATTTAGTGTGACTAGTGTGAAGAGACTAGTGTGAAATTTAGTGTGTATAATATTTTAATTATATATACATGAAATATAATGATATGTAGTATGTATTACATTATATATATAAATTATACAAAGTCCTAAACGAAAACATTGTAAAGTTGAGCTATATCTGCACTAAATTACTAATTTACTGACTAAAAAAATCTAAAAAACTATTAAAAACTACAACGCACACATATAAATGAATAAAGTTATTGCTCTTGAATTTTCAGAAATCTTAAGTTTGTAAGTAGCTTTAGTAGCTTTTTATCTTAATTTTTATACAACCCAGTACAGTTAAATAAAACTTCCAATGTACATCAATTATTATTATTATTATATTATTATTATATATTTTTATTTAAACTCAATTACAGTTGAACAACTTTGCCTTTAAAATTACGATTACTTTTACAATTTATAAAATAAATTCAGAAAAAGTTTTTTTTTTTTTTTTTTTTTTGTTCTTTTGTTTCCGGTTCCTCTTCCACTGTTTGAGTAGCATATGCCAATGGCATAGCAAGATGGATATATTAGAAGCCAACTTTGTTGAATATGTTGGCCCCTATAATATGAAAGCCTTTACTTCCTTGTCGATTCGCCGCTTTTTTGACACTTTTGACACAATTAAAAAAAACTGACACAATTAAAAACTGACACAATTAAAAAAAATTATGAAAAAACCATTCGAAAAACTTATTTTGGAATCTCTCACTCTCGCACACATTATATATATGTTGTGGTTTTTATTATTATTTTTTAATTTTTCAGTGCAGCTACATCTTAATTTTACAATGTTTCTGTTAAATATTTTGTTTTATTTGTGAGATACAAAAAAGTTCATTTTAGACATCTATGGATGTATTGAAAATTGTTATTAGACTTCTATAAAAGCTTTATAGATGTTTGTGATTAAATTGAAACTACTTGCTTGATGGTTAATAATTATTTATTAATAAATTTGCTCACAGCAAGGCTATATGAAGCTTCTATTTAAGTTTAAACTTAACAAAAAGTAAAGAAGAAAGTTTAAGAGCTAAAAAATGGTTGACAGGTTATCCTGTAAATTATGAGCCAGAAAAGCATAAAAAATTCCAGAGCTTTAATGTTCAAGGAAAATAAAGATGGATGAAATTTTTTTAACATGAAGGTTAATCACAGTTAAAGGATTGAACAAGAAATAAAAAATTGCTTCAGTAGTGACCATGTTATTATATAAAGAGTGAGATGTTAGTATTTAAAGTGACCTTATGATGACGCAGTAGAGATTTATGCTTAGTTGCTAGAGAAAGAAAATCGTTACAAAGATGATTAAAAAAATTTATAGAGGAAATCCCATGAGTAGTGCTAGGATCAAGTCCTTTGAATGTAGTGCTAAGATAAGTTCTTTGAAAACTAATAATAACATCTACATATTACTATAAAAACTTATATAATTTCTTATGCAAAAAATTAAGGTTTTGAAAAAATTTTTTATTGTATTTTATTTGAAAACTCATTGGTTAAATAAAAATGAATAAACAAGTGAATATTTGCACTTTATTACAGATTTATTTATACAATTTTATTTTTGCGCTTTTCTTTTGACATCAATTAAAGAATCAAAAGACATCAATTAAAGAATCAAAATGTCAAGTGTATTTAATGCATTGACATTACTGGACTAGCAAAATTAATTAAAGTGTCATTGTTAATCCTAAATAACTCTTGCCTAATTTTAGTTTTAAAAAACTTTAATATTAAAATCAAGAATGCAAAAATTCTCAAAATTGTCTCTAGGTTAGAAAATGTTATGATCTTTTTTTATTATCGACTCATATAGGAATAAATATGTTATAGTTTCTGGATAATTACTTTTTATAAGACTGTAGATTTTCAAAATTTCAAGAAATACTGAATCATTGATATTGCTTGATTTTTGATAGATACTAAATTATCAATAAGAATTTGAATAAATGTGTTGAAGAAGTTTCAACAGATTTATTCAAATTCTTATTGATAATTTAGTATCTATCAAAAATCCAAAAGCTATGTAAGTTTCTTTATATGCAACAGCTCTTTGTTTTAAATTTGAATATATAGTGTCTAAAATTTTAGAAAGTTCATGCTTTTTAAATTTTTTTTTAGCGTTATATGCATTTTTAGTTGATTTATCTTTTCTTAATTTTGTGTTTTTTTGGTATAGTTAACATCAGGTTAACAAAAGACATAAAAAGCATTTTTATGTCTTTTGTTTTAAGCAGTTCTACTATTATCTGCATAAAGTTTGTATTTTATTAATTTTGGGAGGTTTTATAATGCAATCAACAATAGCCCAAGAAAGTAAAAAATACAATTTAGCACCCAAAAATCACTTATAAGGATTATAAGGTGTTGTTTTTTATTTGATAAGAATGCTTTTAACACTTATTGAACATTTTTTTTATACCACTTAATTTTAAAATTAATTTCTTATAAGTTACTGAGTCAAATGCTTTTTGAAAATATTTATAACATATTGTTGAACCATAATTTTGCTTGAATATAATAATTTTGTTTTGTTTGAATATAGTAATTTTGCTTTATTTTCCAGATTTTGTTCGTTTTTTGTTCATGTTTCTCTTCATTTTATTGTATTTGTGATTCATTTGCTTTTGTTATATTTTTAGCCAATATGGACCAAATCATTTATTCATTTATTGTTTAATAGATATTTTTGAGCACAATTATCAAACCATTGCACTGCACAACTTTGCTTGCTTTATCTTTGAGTTTTACAATAGTTTTTTTTTTAAATTATTTTTGCAGGATAAGTCAGGTGGGTAATTAATATAATCAATTAAAAGCCTTTCGTGACTATACCCAACACATATCCATATCTGTTCATCTGTTCAATAGTATTAAATTCAAGTATATTAATTCTGATTTTAAAATATGATTTTAAAAAACTATAACATATATGGAATTACCCCGCCATTTTTGTTATCGCACATGAACTTTAAAACTTTTATTGTTTAGAGATGTTGCCACTTATCAGTATCAATTGTTTAAGATTTTCAGATATAAAGTTTAAATGTACATTTTTACAGAGATATTACGGAGATACCTGCTGACTTGAGTTGATATATTTTTCAAAATAGTTTTTTTTTTTTTTTTTTAATTTATTTTTAATTCAACAATAGTATTTTGTATAGGTAAATTAAATTGTTATTCATTATTATTATTTTTTAAAATAGAAATAATCATTACTTTTGTCTAACCTCGGAAGTCTTGAGTTCTAAGATTTATTATAAAAATCCTTTTTTCTTTCTCTATAAAGCTCAGAAGTTCTTTAATATGTTTAAAGTTTAGATACAAATAGAGAAATTTTACCTTTAAATTCTGGTTCGTTTTTTATAATATACAGATTTTACCTCTGATCCATATTTTAAATCTTTAAGTAAAAAAAAGTCATGGGCAAAATAAAAACTGAGAAAAAAGAAAGGCGAGGATTGAGTGATGATATTTTAGCTGTTGATTCAGAAGTCAAACAAAAAAATCGTAAAGCAAAAGAAGCATCTCTAAGACGACGAGATGAAGATGATAAGGTATTTAACTTTTTTAGAGTTTCTTTGTTACAAAGCCTAAATTGTTTTTACTTTTAGCATTTAACCTTTTAGTTTGTTGGCGATAAACTTTCCAAAAAAATTCTTTTGCAAGCTAGAGCCCAGCAAGAAGAATTACAGGAAGAGTATCCACCTTCAGAATACGTTACAAAGAAAAGTTATCTTGGTAATAAGAAGGATGAATCTTCAGATGAAAATGAGTTTGAAGATGATGATCATTTTTATGAAAATATTGTAAGCAATTTTGTTTATTTTTTTAATTACCCATAAAAATACAGAAAAATACCTTAATACATAATAGCAAACTTTAATACAGTAAAAAAAATTTACTTTCCTAAAAATTATTTTAAGTTAGCAGTGTCAAAATTCTTGATAATAGCATTATATAATCCATGCTTGGCTAAAATTTATTGTGAAAATAAACTGGTTCAAAATTTATTATGAAAATAAGGTTGGTTTAAAATTTATTGTGAAAATAAGGTTGGTTCAAAATTTATTGTGAAAATAAATCTTAGCCAAGGTTGGTTCAAAAATAAACTTTTGAGATGACTGAAATTTATGTATATTATTCTAATTCAGTTATATATATATATATATATATATATATATATATATATATATATATATATATATATATATATATATATATATATATATATATATATATATATATATATATATATATATATATATATATATATATATATATATATATATATATATATATATATATATATATATATATATATATATATATATATATATATATATATATATATTATTCTAATTCAGTTAAATCGTTTAAGTGATAAAATCTATTTTAGCAAATTGACGAAGAAGATGAGAGAGCAATGAAAAACTTTATGTCAGATACACCTGCAACACAAAAAACTTTAGCTGATATTATTATGGAAAAAATTAACGAAAAAAAAACTGAGATAAGAAGTCAGATGTCAGGTATAAATTGTTTTTGCTTGCTTTATTTACTTTGCTATTAAATTAAATTTTATTCAATTTCTGTATAAAATTTAAAAAAAAAAAGTTTTTATTTTTAAACTATATTTTTAAGTTTTTTATTTATACAGAAACATCTGAAAAACCAGTAATGGATGAAAGAATAGTATCAGTTTTTAAAAGGTACATTTTAAAACATTTAAAACATATTTAAATCGTAGTATTTTGTATAAGTTGCTATTATTTGCTTATAAAATTGAGCTGCTATTTGCTTTTGAAATAGAGTTCAATTCTTTTTTGTTAGTTTTGTTCTGATTATTGTCAGAACATAAGTTTCTATTATAATAAAAAATGAAATAGAATATTGGTATCTATTAAAACTTTGCTGTTTGATATATAATTACCTAACTGCTGTCCTAAAAGTGTTTGAGGTTGGGAAAAAATTGTTGACCTGGTTTCTATGTTTTATTGAAAAAAACTTTTGTGTTTTTCAATAAAACAAAGTTTTTTTTGCCAACTTCTAACAGTTTAAAGTTTTTCTTTAATTATGTTGATCATTACTTTGTATCATTCTTTTTTTACTGTGTTAATTCATAAATATCAGAGTTTTCAACACTGTTTTCCAAAGTTTTCAACACTGTCTCTTCCTCTGTATTTTTCTCAGGATTGTTAATAAAAATAATTGGTGGAATAACGTCCTTTAGAACAGCATTGACTAATTTTTTTAGACTACTCCATTGGTTTTTTGGAATAATGGATGCCAAATCTAGCCAAAATGAACTTTGTTGGTTGTAAATAGTTGTTTTAATTGTTAAAATTTTAAAAGAATACACTTAAATAAATCAAGAAGTATTTTAAAATTTGTTTTTAATGGTCTCCTAAAATACATTGTTTGTCATTGTTTGTCATTCAAGTTAGTTTGGCAATGTTGAGATATTTTAGTAGAAAATATGGGTTTTATCAATAATCAGTTTTTCTATCTTCTGTCCTCATATATAAATTTTAAATAATCCTTTTTATGTTAACTCATTTTATGGTCTACGGTCAAACCCTCATTTAGGTTTAAAACGCAAGTTAATATTATAATGGGAGATTCCATTTGAAAACATCCAATTTTTTTTGAAAATGCAACCATAAGTCTCAGATTTTGCTGATTTTTAAACCACTTAAAGATTTTAGTAAATTATGAACATCCTGAAAATTTTATCGTCTAATTTCAATCGGTTCCTAAGATATAGCTATTTTAAGTTTGCCTCCAACCAACAAAAATCTGCCATTTTAAAAAATGGTTTTGGTCCTAGTTTCTGTTATATGTGTGTTGGAAAGCTGAAAATTTGTACCTTTACATATTTTGGGACAACGAATCCAACTTAAAATATTTAAAAACAAGCATAACACCTAAAATTTGAACGTTTACCGTTTTTCAAAACATTTTACAATTTTACTGGGGCGAGTCCAATCACAAAAATGCCGATGTAGCTCGATTTTTTTTTTTTTTTTTAGAAGTTGTCCTGAATAGTTAAGCTATAGTTACTACAAAGAATTGGAGAGTGGTCTTTTCTAAAACAGAAATAAAAATATGGTCAAATCTACTTAAATTTATTGCTTAAAAAACAGGTATTATGACAAATTAAACAAGAAAAAAATGTGGTAATTTGACAGTTTTGCAACTGAAACAGTTTTGGCTACATCAAACTATTCTTTCAGTTGTTGTTGACTAGCTGTTTCTGTTTTTTTTGTAATTTTTCAGAATATGATCTTGAAAAAGTTTAGTTTCAAAGGGGGAGAATTATATAAATGCAGATATATATATCGCAAATTTAGTTTTTTTTTTTAGAAATTGTATTAAATAGATAAGTTGGAGTTATTACAAAGAATCAGATTGCGGTCTTAAATCAGAAATAAAAACATCTTCAAATATACTTAAATTTATTACTTATAAAACATTAGTTTCATATTTATCAAACTTCATTAAATAAACTTAAAAAACAAAGACTCCAAAACAAATAGAGCACTCGGAAAGAAGTTCAAGAAACAAAAGTAATATACAAAATTTATAAATTAAAAACTCAAAAAAATTAAAATTTATCAGTTATTGTGTTATAATCATTCACATCAATGTTATATGTTTGCCCTGATTTTGTTGTTGGGACTTTGATTACTGCAATCAAACTTGACAATGGTACCCAACAGATATCATCTCTCTGTGGCCAAATAAAGTTTTGAGAAGGGCCGTGAGGGTGCATAAACTTAATTTGAATATCATTTATAATAATATCTATCTCTGTAACCATGCCTATCCACCAAAAGAAATCGTACTTGCATGCAACAAAATCATTTAGATTTGGTACAATAACAACATCAGACTGCTTTTGACAGTGTAAATCTGTCAACACATTGATGTTCGCTTGTTCTTTTAAAACTAATTTCAAATTTTGAAATAAGTATGTAATGATGATAACTTCTGGTACCTAAAACAGTTTTTCCTGTTTCAAATTGCTCCTTTAGTTGCTGTCTCCTTGCATTAGCTGTTTCTTTGGAAATTTTATAAAATATGATTGTGTTTATATTGGTGATGCAAAAATCAAGCATATCATCAACTGTTACAGGGCTCGAATTAAGCGTATCGCGATTCACGAATTGCAAATTTGTTTTTTTTGGTTGTTTATTATTTTTTTTCTAGTTTAGCATTTTGGCAATTCTTAAAAGTCAAATTTATCTTCTTAATAGATTATCATTTGCCCTTTTGCGCTGAGATTTTTATTTGAATTTAAATTACTTTAAATCTCAGCATGGAAGCCAAGGCTTTTAAATATTATTATATCTAAAAGGTCGTTAAAGCGAAAATCGAAAGGGGATAAGACGTTAAAGCGAATTTATTCTTCATTCTTTTTTTTTTAAACAAAACAGCCTGGTTTTTATCTTTGTCTTTCAAAACGTTGCACCAAATTAACTTATTATTAATGATTTAAGTTATTATTTTATCAACAATTTTATATTATTTTACTACTTTAAGTATATTGAAATATATATTCAATCGTTATTATTAATTTTTTTTCTAGTACTTAATCAATGCTAATAGAAACCAGCAACTTTTTTGCATCAAGGTTTTTAAGCTTATTCTCAAACTTAATAACAATTACGTACAAAAGGTGCTCATGCACCCCACCCCCCCATTAACGCAAAGTGGCGCAAGCTATGATGGGGGAGAGGGAGTCAAAAATTTTTTTTTTTCGCGATTAGATTTTTTTGCGATAATTCGAGCCCTGTGTTAATATTTGGTTGCAAACTTGCTCTTGCTGTTATTTTTTTAACGATACCACCTATGCCATTACAAGTGGATTTTCCATGGCTGGTTGCAAAAAATACCCATTCAGCTGTAGTCTTGAAATCTTCCTTATGGTTGCATAGATTTATAAAGTTTTTATAGTTTTTATAATGAGCAGAACATCCATCAGAAAAATAATAAATTTTATTGATACCAACTAAATATTCCTTAATGTACTCTACAATTTTCTTTTGAAATTCATACACAAAGCATGTATCATGATCATTGTCATCACTTAAAAAACAGAATGACTTATGCTGAATATTTGTTTTAGAAAATTCCTTAAAATATATAACAACAGGATAAAGTGTACATTGTTGTTTATTCCAATGATAACTTTGTATTTCATCCTGTATAACAAATTGATAGTTCTCTGCAAAATCTGCCTGTATAATACATTCATTGTAACCTAAATTATTTTTTAGTTCTTTCAAATAGCGAGTTTGGCATTTAGCAATATATGAATGTGAAGTTAGATGATTAATGTGAGAATTAACTAGTTCTTTATATTCAAATAAGTTAACTGATTGAGTAATTAATTGTGATCTATCAGTACTTTGCCATTGGTTGAATTGAATTTCTTCTTCTTCATCAATCTCAATTAATTCCTCATCTAAAAATGCCTTATCATAACCTGGTTATCATAACCTGGTTATTATATCATATCATATCAAGTTATCATAACCTGGACATTTGGCACATCTATGAACCATGCGTTCATTATTGCTTGTATCACATACTAATTTTGACATTAAATCTTTGTATGTAACATTTCATTGGACAGCATTTACAAGCAATATTGAGTTTTAATCGTAAATACAAACTTTGGACGCAAACTACAAAACTTTGAAAATCCTATTTTATAATTAGGGTATTTACTTTTAAAATCAATATAAAGCTCATGAAGGTTGCACAATAATAATCTTTTTTGTTGTGGAGGGCCACTTTTAACTTTAACAAAATCTTTTTTACCAGGCATAATTCTAGAATGTTCATTTTGTTGAAAAGAATCTTGAACCAAAGCTGTAAGAAAGTCAGGTATTTTTTGGTCTATTTTCTTATCAGGTATAGCAAGAATTCCATTTTCACTTTTAAGTTTCCTAGCAAAATCTGAGACTTAGGGTTGCATGCCCTGGATGTTTTCACATAAAATCTCCCTAATTTGATATAAAATAATTTAAATATAGTTTTTTTTATCTATGAGCTTATAAAATATAAAATAACTAAAAGCAGATTTTAACAATAATTTGTGTGTTGCAAATTTAGAAGTAAATTACATTAAAATTATGTTACATCAATAAAGTCAAGTTGTGCTCAGCATGTTGTAGTGTATGATTGCAAGACACCTGTGAAAATAAAAGATTTGTAAACATGGCATTAAAAAAGGATAAGACTTTTTCGTGTCACTAAAATAATTATGAAATCAGTATCAATTTGCTATTTTATTACAAGCCTTCCTGGGAAGCACGTGCAATAACATGTCTTGTTTTTCCATATTTAATGTAATTTTTTTAGACACACTGACCAAAGCAGTTCGCATCTTTTAACTTTTTAAGCGTTTCAATAATTTGCAGCAAAAAGCTAAACTTATCTACTGAAAAAAAAATTCTAAAATTCGAAACATCAAATTTTAATTAAATAAACTAAAAAAATTTAAATTTAAAAATTTAAGAATTACATGGCTACTTTTATAAGTGTTTTTACTACATTGATGCCTATCTGAAATTGTTTCCTTTATACTGCCCAATGTTCAACATTAATACAAATTATTAGAAATAATGAACATAACAATGGCTCTGCTTGAAAAAATGTTTTTAAAATCTTAAAAAAAGTTTTAAATAGGCTCTTAAAAATTTCGTTAAAAAAGCTCAGTAAATTGCATAGCACTAGCCCACAACCTTTTGGAGCATCATCAATAACAATAGTTCATCAGGAAATAAACTATCGCGTTTAAATGCACAATTTGGATAATCTTACAAAAGTGCAGACTATTTTAATGGGGGTAGTAAAAAAAAACAAATATTTTATACTTAAATGTTAGTATTAATGACTTTATTTTTTACATTAAAAACTTGTTAAAAAATAAAAATTAAAAAATTTTACAAATAAATAGCAATTACTTTTCTTACTTTCCTGTGCATTGAAAAAAAAAAGTCAAGTTTAGCAAAAACATTTGAAAAATAAATTTCAAAGTTTTCCATATTTCTAGTGCAAATAATAAAGTGTGTTTATAATATACTTACTGACACAAGTCACAAATAAATTGTATATCAAAAAATATTTTTGTTTTTTTTATATTTGTATTTGCTTTTTTCTTTGACTGGTATCAATTTTGGTTGCAGAAAATAACAATGCACTAAAAAGAAAAAAAAAACAGAAACAGTAAAATATTTAGTCATATTATTTTATTGACAAAATTTTTCTTTTTTTTTTAATTTAATTTGTTTAGATTTTCTATTTTGTATATTATTCGTTTCCTTTCTTCAAGTATTGCTGTTATGTTCTCTGTAGTTTCTTATTATAGCTTTTTTTTTTTCCTTAAATTCTTAAATGTCTACTATATAAAAACATGGTCAAGTTGTTTAAAAAAATTACATCAAGTTGTTTAAAAAAGTTACATTAAATGTGGGCGAACAAGGCATACAATCGGATGCGCTTGCCGGGAAAATATACTGGCTTGTATTAGGTTGTAATAGTTTAGATGTTGGTATTTAATGTATTTATTGTATGTGTTTAAAATTATTATTATTTCAAACTGTTTTTTTTTTTTTATTGACAAATAGCTCATTAGTTTATTTTTTTTTTTTAATTAATTTTATAGTTCTTTTTATTAATTGTAAGCAATATTAAAACAATAAAGTAAAAGTTGTTAAATACCAATATGATGATGCTAATATGTTCATGCATTGACATAAACCTATTTGCATAGATTTTTTCTAAATTTTGTTGCTTTAGTGTTTTTTTAAATAATTTGCTATTATAATAGTTTCTATTTTTTTTCTTAGTTTTGAGTAGTTAAACTTTTTCTTGTATAGTGTTGGGGAAATACTATCAAAGTATAGATCTGGAAAATTTCCAAAAGCATTTAAAATTATACCAACATTGCAAAATTGGGAAGAAGTACTTTATTGCACAGATCCAGATAATTGGACACCAGCTGCTATGTATCAAGCATCACGAATATTTATTTCATGCTTTAATTCAAACATGGCACAAAGGTTTGTTTTTAAGTATTCTCGACAATTAAAATCTAAGTGTGTTATGAAGTTGTTGCTAAAGAATTGATTTTTACGTTTGGTTAATTAGTACTAATGATGTTACTAGTATCTAGTAGTAGTGGTGTTGTAAGTAATTGGTTTGTAGTTTTGAAGTTGACAAAAGAGGGCTAATAGTTGTGTTAAGAGGAGGTGAGTTTGTAGTTGTGATGTTATCAGTTAACAATTTGCTGAAGTTAATATGCTATCAGTATAAAATACAATAAAATACAAGTATAAACTTAAAAAGTAAACTTTTCAAAATTTAATTTAGGTTTATTAACCTGGTCCTTCTACCACGTGTTCGTGACGATATTGCTGAATATAAACGGCTTAATTATCATTTGTATATGGTGATTTTTTTTATTTATTTCTTCTTAAATCATGCTTTTGTTGTTGTTTATTGAAAAATTGTTTTTATTTTACTTTTATAAATGTTGATGTTGGTATCAATATTTATTGATAAGTGTCAAATTTAACAAAAACATTCTGGTAGTTATTACAAATACTAATTTTAATGATCAATCAACTAAATGATTTTGTTTGCAAAAAGGAGTTCAACTTATTTTCATTAGTTGGTTTATAAAAAAGATATGCCTGATATAAAAAATTTGCTTCTATATGATTTTTGCGTAATGTTTTAAAATATCAAATGATTTAAAATGTAAATTTTTTAAATTATGACACAAACTGCTGATTTTTATTTATTTTTTCTTGTTAAAGTGGTTTAAATATTTAAATTAAAATATTTTTAAATATTTGCTTTAAAAATTTCCAAACAAATGTCAGCGTTTGAATTAAAAGTAAAGAAATGTGCCATTTGTTTTTCAGTTTTTTTTTGACAAACAATGGTCTGCTTGTTGATCTGTTGAATCTTCTGCTAGAAATTAACATTAATTAAACTTGAAATATAATAATAAAATAATAATTGTTAATATTAAAAATTTATAAAACCAATTTTAATGAAATTTACAGGCTTTGAAAAAGTCTTTGTTTAAACCTGCTGCTTTTTTCAAAGGGATTTTACTTCCGCTATGCGAGGTTAGTTTTATTTATTAGGTTAGTTTTCTTTTTTATTATTATCATCTGAAATATTTAATTTAATAGTGGGTGCTAATTATTCAATTATTTGTGTTGAATGTTGTTATGCAAAAACATGAATACAGCAAAAATATCTCTCAAATGTTTAATTGCAACTGTCCTTTTTTTAAAAAAGAAGTCTTAAAAAAACGTCATTTTTTTAAAAAAAAATTATTACTCAATAAAAAAGTTGTCATTTAAAAAAAAACTTCAAAAAGTTAAATACTTTAATTGGTTTTTATTAAATGATTTTTATAAGATTTTTTATTTTAAAGTTTAATTAAAGTTTACTTTTTCCTTCTTTTTTATTTTTTAAAGGCCAAAATAATGTATTGTGTTATATATTTAATACAAACACGTTAAACTTGTTATCAACATTTTTCTGTCTTTTTTTTTTTTTTATTGATGATTGGTTGTGTTTTGTATTGAATCTTGAATGCTTTAGAAAGTCTTAGCACTGTTAATTAGGTTTTATATAGTAGGTTTGTTCACTTTTACTTTATATTGACAGTCAATTATGAAATTGTTCTCAGTCTGGTAGTTGTACACTTCGAGAAGCAATTATCATTGGCAGTGTTCTTTCAAAAGTTGGTGTACCTGTTCTACATTCTGCAGCTGCAATGTTAAAAATAGCTGAAATGAACTACACAGGTTAGTTAAAGATATTCAAGTATTTCATTATCATCATATATTATTATTAGCTTCATATTTTCTCACTTGCAGGCCTTGTTTTAAAGCGTTACGCCTAGAGCAATTTATGTACGCCTCAAGCGATTTTTACGTACGCGTAGAGCTGTTTTGGTTAAGCTACTTTTTGTCATTTTTTAACTTTTAAATTAGCGGTAACATAAAAGAAGTAATTAATTTTTAAAAAAACCACATTAACTTTCAAATAACAATATGTAAAGATGTATATTACAAAAAAGATTTTACGTTAAAAATAATTGTTGTAACTTTTTATCGTGATATATCTTGCCTTTTTATAGCAATTAATTTTACGCTAAACTTTTTATCCAAATATTTAGCAACATGAAAAATTGTTCAATAAGTTTTTTCATAAATCAAGTTATATTATAAGGTAAAGAAATCACGAGTAGACTACAACATCCGCTGATGACACTAATATTACGTTGAATATATTTATATAACGGAGGTTTCATTATGTACGCACACATTACAGATTCCGTTAAATAAATACTAAGGCATGTTTTAGTTTAATGACAGTCTATTTTTTACTAATGAATATGTATTTTTCTTTATAAAACAAAACAAACTAGTATATAAAAACCTTGTATATTTCTATTCTCTCTAAATTGTTTAAAGTTCGAATATAGATTATATTTTAAAGGACAAAAGATTTACTTTAAAACTTTTAAATCTTGGGACTTTGCTGATGCTTTGCCGACGCGATGATTACAGAAAAAGAGAAGACTTACGTTATTAAAATCAAATGTAAGTTATATGATCTTCATCAAAATAAAATATTATCCAAAAACAATGGTGTCATAAGGGCAGCTGCCCTACGATTTATAAATAACACAAGTCATGTTTAAATATTTTAAAATGTTACTATATTTTAATTAAGTTGATATATAAATAAAAAAATATATATAGTTCAATAAATAAATTAAATTTGTTCTTAACAAAGATTACCTCATATTTATTCTTTTTTTATTTTATCAAGTTAAATTTGCTTATAAACGAAGAAAAAAAAAAGAATTTTGTAATTATACATAGAATGAAAATACTTTTTTTGTTTATAAGTTAAGAAACTTTGTTTTTAATAAACAAATTTTTATGAACGTTTATTATAAACAGATACGATTCAAATTATTAAATATACTCAAATTATTTTAGTTGAGTATTTTTTTAAGTTTGCACAATTAAAGTTTTGCGTAGAAAACGCTAAGCAAGATAAATTTAAAAAATATTTAAAAACCTAAATTATTCTTTGCTAGTCAAATATTGCTGTTTAAATAATTAACATGGGTTTTTGTTTACTCCAGAAATTTTAAAAATAAAAAAAACCATTATTATTTTTTATTCAATAACGATTTATAAACATTAATTATTCAAAAACAAATTTCAGAAATAATTATATATATATATATATATATATATATATATATATATATATATATATATATATATATATATATATATATATATATATATTTTACTAAATAATATTGAACTAAAATTAATAATAAAATAACAATTGAAAACATTTCAAAGTTTTTATAATAAATTTACATTTAAAACTTTTATAGTTATTTGAGTTAATTGTTAAATTGAACTAGTTTGTGGTTATTTATTTATTATGGTAGTTAAAACACTTATATAAACGTCTATAAAAAAAAATAAAAATAATTTTATGACGTCAAAATTGCGTTAAGCTAATGCATTAAGCACTTTTTTATTTAAAACAAGGCCTGCGCTTGTATCATTTTAATTAATTTTTGAAAATGGTGTGATCTTCATAAATAATATTTTTTTTTTAATGTTTTAGTTATACTTTATTCTTGTACATGCGATGAGATTTTATTTACCTTAATCTGTAAAAATTAACTTGATGTTTTTTTGGTTAAAAGTACTAACTAATAAAATTAAAACAAAAAAGTGAACAAATACAAATTTATAGTTTAAGTTCATGATGGCATAGTTTGTGGTCAAGCAAGGTATCTATTGTTTTGTCAACCAAAACCCAATCTTGGGTGATTAGTCAGCAAAATTGCATTCTTCAACTGTTTTGTTCCATCACACCTAAAAAACTTTTATTAATCTAGTTTTTTGTTTTATATATCAATTCCCTTCTGATATCATATTTTTCTAAATCATAAGATTTTAACAGTTTTTTAAGTCTTCAGTGAATCACGCATCTGAGCTAAATAACTGTAAGAAAGTTCTATTTAAGTTGGATGTTACTAGAAAGTAGAGAAGAGAATTAAAGAAGATAAAAACAGATAACACACACATAACACACCTTAAATAACAATTTAAATAGCATTACAAAAGCCCAAATTAAGTTAGATGTCACTGTCAGGGTTGGAAAAAACCCAGGGTTTTTAAAAAAAATGTAACCCAACCCATGGTTGTTTTTGGGTTTTATGGGCTTTTTGGGTTTTTTTAAAAACCGATCAAAATACCAAAATTTTATAATTGTATGTGTACAGTAATTTTTTTTTAATTTCTTAAATTACCTCCTATTGCTCTAGTAACCACTTCTGTCAAGGGAGCAACTTCAGCATAGGTGATTTGAACCTCAACCTTTTGATTGCAAGCCAAATGTTTTACCACTAATCTACTACCACATATCTGAAATGCAAAAAGGGACTCCTTCAGTTATAAATTATGTTAATTAATTGCACTAAATTAAAAACGTTTTCAGAATATTTTTGACTAAAAATCACTATAAAAATTATTATGACAATTGAGTTATTCAAAATTGGTAAGACAATATAAATGTTACAAACTAACATGTTCAACATATTACTTCAAAAACTAGTTGGCACAAGTTTACAACATGTAATCAACAAGTTTGCAACATGATGTTGCAACCTTGTAAATTATTGTCAATCAGGATGACTATGATTACTTTTTAAACATTTTTGCATCATAGAAGAAAACTGTTAGGCTAATCACTACTTTTTTTTTAAACAGAACATACTGTCCAGCTTCCTGGTAAAGTTATAGGCCTGATCAATATAATGCAGTAATTATCTTAATCCCACACGTCCCTGGTATTACCGCGCTGAACTCCTCTGAGCAGCGGCCTTGTTTGTCAAGGTTCGTGTTTTGGAGTTATATAGTTGAGAGAGGGTTATAACCACAAAAGTAGCCTCCTTGTCTGTAGTGGCCTTATTGGCCTTGAAGATGTAAATTAACAAAAACAACAAAAAATTTCTTGTTTTATATGATTATCTTTGTAGTTTTAAAATGGTGTGAAAGTAATGATTAGCTGATTTGGAGTGACATTGACACTTCATGATATTTTTATTTTTTAGATTATGGGTAGATTGGTTTTGCAAATGGATTTGTGCCTAAACTTAGATTGTTTTTAAGAATATTCAAAATGAATTTGTTAAGAACCATTACATTTTCTTCACCACCAGTTTCTTTTTGAAGATGTTTGTCATCTTAGTTTTGCAACTGAATCAAAGTAACACAATATATAGCTCTATTGTGTGTGTTTCTTCACTTTTTAGCAAACTTGGTAATGATCTTCATTTTCAACCCGCTGTTTATAGTCACCACTGATGGCGGTACATGTTGTAAACTTGTAGCTGGTATAAAATATTTAAAACCTGTATAATAGACAGGTGAGCATGAGTATCATTTTCACCAACAAATCTTGTCCTTGTGATTTTGCAAACTTGCTTGCAAACTTGCTTGCACATAACATATTTTTTATGTTTTAAAGTTGTATTCACTTAACAAGGAAAAGTCCACAGTCTAGTAAAGTGTAGCTATTTTTTTTTGCCTAACAACTTTCCATTTCTAGACTGTGAATAAAGTTTAATAATTTTTGTATATAGTGTTTTGCTTGTGGCTTTTTACTAGAATTTGCAGTTTACAACATAATCTTTAAAAAATAAAGATCAAGTACCAATATAAATAGACGTATATAAAACGCTTGTTTGGAAATCTTGTTCAATGTCTTCTTGTTTGGAATTTCCAAACAAGAAGACATTCGAGAAATCATTCGAGAGGAGAGTAAAGATACTAAATAACTAGTAATGTCTTAAAATTTAGTTAATAGAATGATTTTTATTTCCTTTATAAATATTTAAATAAATTAATGTTTTAATACATATTTCAATATTATTTTTTTAATATTTTACTTGCTTTATGGTTTAAAAAAGTAATAAATTACCAACTAGTAAAAAAATAAGTTTGATTGGTTTTGGATTGTTCTGTAAGGGGTTCGAACTAAAAATTATATTCTAAATATCATTTTGTATATAAATACAGTTTACAAGAGTATTTACAGTATAAAAGTTGTACTTGTTGGTAATAAAGCATTTATAAGTGTTAAAATCAGAATTATCAGTTGTGAAATAGGACATTTTTAAAAAAACCCAAATATTTTATGGTTTTTTTTAGGTTGGGTTTTTTTGCCAACCCTGGTTACTGTTTAGGTGTTAATGTATAGAAAAGAGTTAAAGAAGAGAAAACAAGAAGACTTGTAAAAATTGTAAATTGAAGAGTCAGAAAAATATGAAAACGTTTTTCCATAGCAGCTATTTTGGAAGCAAATTTGTTTAAAAGAAGAAAAAAAAACATCAAAATCAAAAGTTGTTGCCAAAAAAATTAGATTTTAATAAAAAAGTTTTTTTATCTTTTCTAGCATCACTAAATAAAGTATTTTTTTTCTAACTTGTTTGTAAAAATGTTTACTGTAAAAAGTATTTACTGTAAATATTATTTTTTAAATTTTGATAGTATGTTGAAAAAAGTATATAAAAAACACAATTTTTACCTTCTGTTTTGAAAAAGATCAAGTATTAAGTGGTATTAGATAGACTTTAGTATATTCACAATTTTTTTTTTTTTAATTTGCATTTACTCCCAACAAGGCGGCAAGCAACCACTATTAAGTTGGGAGTTACTAGGAAAAAAAAGAACAGAGTTATAGAGCAAGGAAACGGTTGACAGAAGACTTGAAAAGTTGAAGGTTGTATGAGTCAGGAAAACATGAAGATGGGAGAGAGTTCCAAAGGATTGAAGTGCGGGGAAAAAAACTAGATGAATAAAAGTTTTTAGAGCATGCAGGGACAGATACAGTAAACGAATGAGACTTAGCTGAATGACGAGTAAAACGAGAATGAATTTTAGTTGATAAAACTAGAGATGATAACTCCTTTGAGCAGTGACCATGATAGTATTTGTAGAAAAGAGAAAGAGATGCAACTTTACGACAATGAGAAAGAGGTTCAAGCTTAGCAGATAATCCAGGTCCAACAACATTTACAATGCGTTTTTGGACCTTGTCAAGAAGAGAAAGTGAATCGTTAGAAGAACCAGCCCAAATATGACAACAGTATTCCATACAGGGACGAATAAGAGATTTGTCGAGGTAGAGAATGGAATCAGAAGTAAGGAAATGGCGAGCACAATAAAGAGCAACCTTAGCAGAAGCTAATTTAGCAATCGATTGTATATATGGTTTCCATAAAAGGTCAGTAGTAAGCGATAATCCAAGAAGACGTAATAAGGAGGATGCAGTAAGAGGATTGCCATTCATTAATATAGGAATGTTGACGATATTACGGTAGTTGTTTGCAGTAAACAACTGGGTTTTGTTAGAGTTGAAATTCACAAGCCACTGTGAACCCCAATCTATTACTAAAGTGAGATTAGATTCAAGATCAGCTGCTTGTTCTAAGCGATCGAAAAGAGAAGACTTTTTGTCAAGACAGGAGTATAAAATTGAGTCATCAGCAAAAAGAGCTACTTTAGATGAAAGGTTGTCAGGAAGATCGTTTATGTAGATAAGAAACAAAACAGAGCCCAGGATGGAACCTTGGGGAACCCCAGAAGTTACTGGAAATAAAGAAGAGTGTTGGTCTTCACGGATGACTTTAATAAACCGGTTAGAAAGAAATGATTTGATAATCTCAAAAACTTTCCCAGAAACACCATATGAAGCAAGCTTATGGAGAAGACCAGCATGCCAAACTTTGTCAAAAGCTTTAGATATGTTGAGAGCTTTAGATATGTCGAGAGCAATAGTCCTAGCCTCACCGCCTCCATCTAATGCTCGATAAAATCTTTCAGTTACAGCAGTTAGCAAGTCGGCCGTAGAGCGAGAGGATTGAAAACCGTATTGATTGTCTGACAGTAGTTTATTTGACTTAAGATGAGATGTGAGAAATTTGTTGATCAAAGACTTAAAGACCTTGTTAATAATAGAAAGAAGACTGATCAGACGATAATTGGAGGGTCAGAATTTTCTCCAGAGTTTTTGAATATCGGAACCACAGATGCCATTTTCCAACAAGCAGGAAAACAAGACTCAGTCAAACACTTGTTAAATAGTTTAGAGAGAATTGAAGAAAGTTCTGGAGAACAATTCTGCATGACTGTGACAGGAATGTTGTCTGGACCACAAGCTGTAGACGAGTTTAATTGAGATATGACTTTAGCAACAGAAGCCGGAGTGGTTTGAATGTCTAACAATAAATCAACCTGTTTGACTGGAATGGAAGGAAGAGAATGTCCATAAGATTCAAGAGTGGAATTAGAAGAAAAGTTCTTTGCAAATAGTTCTGCATTATCCTTGGGAGAGGTAATAAGATCAGTCCCATGAATGAGAGATGGAATGTTAGATCTACCCTTGTTAATGCTGTTGAAGATTTTCCAAATTGAACAGCGTTTTTCTAAAAGGCGCTGTCACATTTTTATTGTTTTGAAACAAACACAGGATTTTTATGATACTAGCATTGTTAGATTTTTATGTTTATCAATAAAAAAATCAAATGTTGAAAAAAACTCAGTTTTAAAAAAAATAGAATGTGTCTTTTAGAAAAATGCTCTTCAATTAGTTTTCACTATTCATTTTTTAATAAATTTTTTAATTTAAAGTTGATGATGTTTGTATTATATGCTAATTTTATGATAGCAAATGGTTGCAAATTCCTCATAAATTACACATACTTCCAAAAATAGCCATAAAATTTTTTATATTGATATTTGATAGAAAAAAGTCTTTATTAAACTGTCATCAAACACAAGTATTATATTATTATTGCAAAAAGAAATTTATGATTTGTAATTGAAAATTAATTTGATAATTAAAATGTAAATTGTTATTTTCATGTAAATTACATAATTCACTACTACTTGGGAATCTAGATGAAATTAGAAAGTGGTACTTAAGTTTGCAGAATGAGTTTTTTGGTTTTAAAATGGAGAATAGAGTACTGCTAGGTAAGTCAGAACTAGAATCATCAAAGTTTTCGCTCCATTATTTTACAGTAAAACATCACTGATATTGAAGTTATCATCTGTAGGAGCTGAGGGCTTGGTTTTGGGCAGGAAGTATGAAGGGCATTTTTTTATTGCAAAATTCTTTATTTGAGCAAGTGTTTGCATTAAAGTCTATATATCAGTAAACAACCCTCGGAATCAGGAAAAATGAGGTCAGCAATAAATTACTGACCTCAAACCATTAGAGGTCGGCATCAGGTTGGCAAAAAAAATTTGACACAAAGTAGTCACCATAAAGCATAGAAATGAGGGTGGCGATTTTTTGCCTACCTCAAGTATTTTAAGGTTGGCAGTTAGGTTGGAATTACTAAATGCCAACCCGAATTCCGAGGGTAAATATTAATATTTTTATAGAACAGGTATATTTAAAAAAATTAGATTTTAGACCCAAATTAAAATTTACCAAAATATAAAAGTTGAAGCACTATAGTTGCTGAAGATGTTAATAATTACTTAATTAAATTGTTAATAATTACTTGTTAATTAAATTTTGATGATGTTAATAATTACTTGTTAATAAAATTTTTATGATGTTAATAATTACTTGTTAATAAAATTTTTCTTAATTTAAAATTTAAGTTTTAATGATTAGATTAGTTTACTTTTTTTTATATATATAAACTCTGAATTAAAATTGTTAATATTAAGTTTAGTTTGAATTTTTTTTTAATTCTAAATTCAAGTTTATAATAATTACTTTTGTTTTATTTTTTTTTTTTTTTTAAGGAGCAAATAGTATATTTCTTCGAATTTTACTTGATAAAAAGTATGCTCTTCCTTATCGTGTGATTGATGCTATGGTGTATCACTACCTCAGGTATTTTTTAAAAAAATATGCAATTGCAAAGTATTTTGTTTTGTTATTATATTGCTTGAATCCTTTTTTAAGGTTTCAGTCTGACAACAGAGAGCTTCCTGTACTTTGGTATCAATCTTTTCTTACATTTGTTCAAAGGTTAGTTTTACAAAAGTAATCATGTTAAATTTATTTTAAAATTTATTTATGAAGTTAGTGTTAATAGTTACAAAATAAAAAAAACAGCAACTTACATTTTCGAATTTAAAAAGCTGGAACCTTCAAGGAACAAAGAAAACGATTCAACTGTGATTTTTATGACAATTAAAATTTGATTTTTACGACAATTAAAAACACTATGAGTTGTTATAAGTTCTCTACGAATGTCATTATCATTGATGTTAATTGCATATTTTTATATTTTATTAATCGTATGTATTTGCGTGTGTGTGTGTTTTTTTTTGTTTGTTTTAAAAAACAAACAAAAAAAAACACACACACACATGCAATTATTTCCAATTATTTGGTTCTAGGACAGCACCTGTATATTTCAACAGGACTCAGTGCCATTCTACACTACATGTAAGGTCTACCATTAGATAAAAAAATGACACGTGCTTCCATGACCAGGGAAATTTTCCTTAGTTAGGAAACATCTGGCAAATTGATTAGAAGTATACCTGATTGAGTGCAGGAACTTATTAAAGTGATAGGTTGCTACACAAAATATTAGGAAGACTTTATATCCATATATATACATTATCTATATATATCCATACATTATCTATTTTATATCCATACTTTATTCCATATATTATATCTTTTAATGTCTATATATTTATGTTATGTTTATGTGTGCTATATATAATGAAATGTGTGCGCAATAAATGTTTTAAATATCATATGTGATTTCTCAAGAAAATTTCTCATAATTTGTTGATTACTGTTTGTGTGTGTGTATATATATATATATATATATATATATATATTTATTAGGGTGGTTCTAAAAACAAAATTTTTTAAAAATGTCTGATGGCACCCCCTAAATGTGTTCTATGTAATAAATTAATACTACATTTTTTTCACATAAGAATTTTTTAGGGGTTGTTCAAGACCCTTAAACATCAGATAAGTCCCTAATATTTTTAATGATGGATCCCAAAAGAAGTAAAATTTTATAAAAATTTCAAAAATAATAATAAAAATTTATGAAAACACAAATTAAAAAAGTTTATTAAAAAAAACTTTGAAAATTTTATGTTTTTAAGCCATGGAATGAACTAGTAATCTTTATTTAAAAAATTATTGTTTTTAGATGTTTTATAAAATTTCACTTCTTTTAAGACCCATCATAATATGCTTTAAAAAAAATTTTTTTTTCCAATTATTTGGGACCTGTCTGAGGTCTAAGGGTCCATACATACATACATATATATATATATATATATATATATATATATATATATATATATATATATATATATATATATATATATATATATATATATATATATATATATATATATATATATATATATATATATATATATATATATATATATATATATATATATATATATATATATCTATATATATATATATATATATATATATATATATATATATATATATATATATATATATATATATATATATATATATATATATATATATATATATATATATATATATATATATATAATATGATATGATTTGATATGATGTTAAGAAATTTGTATATATATATTTTAGATACAAAGAAGATATTGCCAGTGAACAAAAAGAAGCTTTATTAGAGCTTTGTAAAAAACATAACCATCAAAAAGTATTTGTTTTTGTTTAACAACATTTTTTTTACTTCATATCCATTAATTCAAAGACTATTTTCAATTTTTCAATCTAAGATTAAAGGTTTAAAAAAAAAGGGTTTTAAACTTTTGGAAACAGTTTAATATTGTTATATTATATTATTTATAATAAAAAATTCCTGATAAAAATATATAATATATGCTTATACATATGTCTATACGCATACAAGGCTATCTTTACAACAAGCCTTGCAATCATGCCATCAAATGGAAAGACTGGAGGCTGATTTTTTAGCAGAAATTTGAAAACAAATTTTGAAAACAAGATTTAAACAAAAAGTTACTCAATGTACTATTCCTCTAAAGTGTGTGTCATGAAAATGTCATGTTGTGAATGAAATAAATTTCATAAAAATATATATCATAATAATAATGTTAATATTACAGTAATAACAGTTATTGTTATTATAGTATTTTATAGACTTTTTATTTCATTCTGCGTATTTTTTATAAACCCTATATAAATAAATATTGAAATACTTTTTTTCTGCAAAACTTAAACCCTCAGTCGATGTTTGTACACTCCACTGCACTTATCCCTATTTATGTTAATTTATGTTATTGTTGGGTTAATAATTATTGCATTTATGCATTTTTTCAAACTTTAAAAAGTAAAAATAAACAGAATCATAGTTAAAACTTTTAAAAACTTTTAAAAAAATAAAAATTTTCTCTACGGAGAGTTTGACCCTGCAACTTTGCTAACCAAGTTTTATGTTTTTAGCTATGTAACATCTGCAGCACTTTGTTACTATAAAAAATTGCATTAAAAGTTGAAAATTAAAGAATTCAAGCATACAAATGTTTCTAATTCATACAAATGTTTTTAATTCACATTATTTGCACGTACAACATCATTTGCACATTACAAATGAATTTCTTTTTTTAACACATAAAAGTATTTTTAATTAAACAAAATGACACATTAATATTTTCGGAAATTTCTTAAAAGGTTTTTCCAGATTTTTAGGAAAAAAGTTTTCAAGATTTTTTTAGATATGACCTGGATAGTCAATAGTTGTAACAATGTAATGTTTTTTCTTGGCGCAAAATTGGTAAAAAAAAAAAAAGGTAAAAATAGAATAAAACCTTAACTTTAAAAACAACAGATGCAATCAATTAAGAGGTTTAATAGACTTACCTAACTTTTTACTTGAAACCAGTCGAGATCATCAACTTGTTATGCTTGGTGATTATTCAACTGATCCTATAGAGAAAGCCTTTGGTAAATTAAGGCAGGCTATTGGTGGTGCTTTTTTTATTTCTGCACAACAAGCTGTTGAGAAAATGTATATTAACCATGGTTATTACTAAGATTTGATGCAGACTTTTATGACTGCATCATCAACTAACTGAAAATTAAAGTAAGATTTTTGACAAAATAAATTAGAAGAGTTTATGAAATAAGACAGCAAAATTGGTTTTGTTTATATTGCTGGATACATTGTTCAAAAAACTGAAATGGATAATGCTGAAGAAACTTTTATTTATTTTGACATGTATGGTGGTTACTTAGAAAAACTAAATAAGAGAGGTTTAAAACCTACTGGTCATACATTGTCAATGGGTTTTTTTTTTTTTTTTGTTACATTTCATTCATGAAACTAGATTTTACAGTTATGGTTTGTCAAAAATTCGAACACCTAAATATTTTTTTATTTGATTAATTAAATCTATTTTTATCATGCTTTTCCAAAAATAAACATTTTAGATAAAAACTTATCTAATATACTTATAAATAACTATACAAAAACGGCTATTCCGAGTTCTAAAAAAGAATCTGCGCAAAAAATATTGATCCTGCAATAGAATAAAGAAGTATATGGTTTCTTTTAATTGATAAATAAGTTAATATGATATTTTTATTTTGTGTTTTGTTTTTGCCAAAAATAATTCAATTATTTTTGGCAAAAACAAAACACAAAATAAAAATATCAAAACATCATTAGTGAATGTATAGTGGTCTTAACACACTAATAAAACTATAAAAACACAATTATTGTGTTTTTATAGTTTTATTAGTGTGTTAAGACCACTATACATTAACTAATGATGTTTCCAAGAGCCTGATAAAAGTAATTAACATCTCTTTTCAAGGAAACATCCTTGTTATATTGTTCTAAGGGACAATATGGGACAGTTATGTCTAAAGCCTTATATCTCAAATAAAATTTTTTTTTTTGATAAAACATTCTAAATTATTGTGCTTATTATTGTCAAAAAAATTTAATTTTAGAAAAGCCAAAATGCATTAAAAGTACCAAAAAACATCAGAAGGTTTGCGAAAAACAAAATTTGCGTATTTTTTGAAGCAATGCAATGACAAATGATTTATCTGGAACTATGGGGAGTTTAAAAAATATTGAATTTATAAAAATTTAATATTTTTCAGACAGTATTTTTATCCTCTTTTAGAATCTGGTTTTAAAAATTTTTTTAGAATTGAACTTTTTGAATAGTATTAATTTCAGTAAAATGAAACTGTGGGGCATATCGAGCATCATAATCATATAAACAACAACAACTTATTTTTATAATTGAATATTATATTATTTATATATTGACTATATTACCACTATTTCATGATGTTGTTTTACAGATGTTTGTAATCATGTAACTGTTTGATACAGTTTGATGATTTTATTTTTATCTAAAATATTTTTTCTTATTTAGAAAAGTAATATAAGTAATAAATTCAAAGAAATTGTTTATAACCTTTTATAACGTCACTTTGATTATTAATAGTTATTAATATTATTTTAATTTGAAAAACCAATTTAAGTAATAAATTCAAAGTATTTCTTATTTGTATAACTTAACTTTGGTTATTAATAGTGTTTAATGTAAACAACAATGGTAAGAAATTATATAGGAAAGATCAATCATCCAAAATGGGATGAAAAGCAGTTTTAGCTGTGAGTAAAAAAGAACTTAAAACTAGAAAATCTACTGATACATATGGTATATTTAAGTTTGCTCTACATTGGCATATTGCTAATAAGTCAGCTCGTCAAAAATGTTGCCAAATAGTTTCAGGATATTTTTTGTGTGATTTATGTGATCCATAAATTTTTTTCAAATTTAGTAGTAGTTACCAATTTAATAATATATAGGTTAGAGTAGAGGGGAGATATTTTATAATAAAACACACAAAAAAATTTATTTTAGCTGCTATTTATTTTTTGTGATGTATGGGTGTAAGGATGTGTAGTTTTTGTGGGTAAGTTATTTTTTTGAGAGTTTAATGTCTAAACATGTTTGAACATGTCTGAACAGGTAGGTGATAGATGGCTTTTATTTTTCACCAATTTTATTGCTTCACAATTGACAAATGACTTGCAAAATGTAAAATTTTTCTAGTCTAGAGTTTCATTACTTTGGTTGTTGTAACTTATTTTTAGAAATTTTTAGTTTTTTCATTTTCTTATATCAATCAATTTTAGAAATTTTATAAAAAACAGTGTTAACTATGATTTGCTTATCTGCAACTAGCATTTTTTTCCTAAGTGTCCCTATATGCCCCGTTCTACCCTACTAAATTTTATGTAAATTAACTTGATAATGATTAGTAAATAATAAAAAATAGAATAAAAAATAAAAATGGTAAATAGAAAATATTTTATTCTAGATCACACCAGAAATTCGACGTGAACTGATGCAATCAAAATCACGCGATAAAGAAATACCAGCCGAAGCTGTACAAATACCTATGAGCTTTGACTGAAGAAACTTGTATATTTTGTGTCTTGAATTTAAACATTGTTACTTATTAATTATATTGTTGTTGTTGTGTTTGTTTTTGTAGGACTCTTAATCAGAATAAGTATCCTAGACCTTTTTAAGTAAGGCTCGATTTATTAATTATAATTGTTTATATTTATTGCCTAATAAATATATTATAAATGCATATTAAAGTTACTAACCACCAGAGGCTTGATATTAATTGGAGAATTAATGACACACCTTTAATGTGTCATTAAGTTTTTCTTTAATAGCGCATCTATATTTAATGACACATCTCTTGATTCTACAAGTAAAATTGATTTTTTCATCTTGACCCAGACATATTGCCTAATTTTAATGCCTTCTATGCTTCACCTAATCTAATCAATCTCCTGGTTTCCTGATCTCTTAAACAATAAAATTCTAAAAAATTTCATCTTGCAACCATTGCGTATCCAAAACACAGAAATGTAGAAAAACTTTAAAAAAACATCAAAGATAATTTAAAAATAAAGTTATTTGAAAAAGTTTTCTTAGTAAAAAAATTTTTATACACTTTCTGAACAAATATTTGAAATTACAAAAAAAGTGAAAGTTTGAGATTTTAAGTTTTCCAAATTGTAACCTAAAACTTTTTCTCATATGAATCATATCTCATATCAATGAAAATATTTTTTAAAAACATTTCTGTGAATTTTCTTTCAGTATTAGATTTTAAAGCAGTTAAATACTGTTAAAATCTTGCAAATAGAAAATGTGATCCAAGTAACCTTTTCAAGCATTTAACAGAAACTGGGCTGGGTTTGAAAAGTATTTAGTTTATAAACTATTTTGTTACACTAATTAATTTAAATTTTAAGTATTAATTTATTTTTGTAGGAAAAAAAAAATTTGTTAAAAATAAAAAAATCTTTTTTTTTAAAGTAGTTTTCTACAAAATAATAAGAACTTATTCAAATATTTTTTGTATATACTATAAAGTTTTGTTTGTTTTGTATATATTATTTTTATATATTATGTTTTTTTTGATTAAGAAGTTTATTTTTAAGTTTTTAATTTCTTCTTTCAATTTTTTTAATTTTAAAATATCAAAAAAATCTTTTAAAAATAAATAAAGTTGAGTAATTATCAATAATATTCAACAAAATATTTGAAATATTTAGAAATATTTATTTCATTGGAAATATTTAGATTTGCATAAGTATTATGATATTGTATCAGCATTTGCTATGTCGGACAACAAAGGTATTGGGATGATACTTGATTATTGATGAATGTCTCACAACTTGTTTCATATAAAATAACAAAACCATTGTGTTTATCACTAAATGGCTTTACTTTTATACTTATTTATATGTAGTTATTTATTGTACTTTATATATAGTATGTGAAGCTTGATATTCAACTGATTTTAATAGCCAATTATCTTCTCTCGCTTGCATGAAATAAAGAGATTTTCTTCCTACTATACATTTCCTTTATTTACTGGTACACAACAGTTGTTAGAGGCAGTATGGAATTTAAAATATTTAAATATTAATTTTTATAGCATTCATTGTTATGATTGTTTGTTTATTTATATTCTTTGCATACATTTCGAGTGTTGATTTTGTTGTGATTTTGTTTTCAGAGTCACTTTTACAGTAATTTGCCATGGTGGACAACAATAGCCATTTCTACAGTTTTACTTCGTTGCATTACTACTGTTCCCATGGGCATAAAACAAAACAGAATAGCAGCTAAGATGGAGTTGTTACAACCTCAGTTAAAGAATTTAGGGGACTCTGTAAGAAGTAGTTTGTTTTCAAAAAACTTGAATGAGGCAGATAAAAAAAGAATGCAACAAGATTTCAGAAAAGAGGTATTGTATATTAAATTGCATTAATTTGTTAAAAAAAAAAATTTCTAATTAAAAATTTTAAAATCTTTTTTATTAATCAACATAAATATCTGCTCAATTTTAGATTTGGTAAGCTAATTAAGCTTACTGAATCTGAATTTGAAGAGTTCAACAAAGATGTCTTCAGGGAAGTGCAAACCTTCAATTTCATAAACAATAGACCAGTGATTCCCAACATGTGGGTTGCAAGCCCAATGGGGGTTACAATTTACCAAGTGTTGCAATTAAACTATCTGAAAATAATTTAAAACTACTTAGTGGTTTCTTTTTATTGTTTTACGCTTAAATACTTTGTAATAATACTTTTATGTAATATAAACATTACACCAAAGCACTTTATAGTACTATGATTCATAAGACCAATGGAGATAGTAAGAAGCAAGTAAGCAAAGTTGCTTGCTTGCTTCTTTCTTTCTGGACAAAATAAAGCTTTAACTTTAATGTTAATAGCTTCGATTGTGTGTGACTCTTAATTGTATAATGTAAATTGCATAATGCAAAATTATAATATTGTAAACACACTTATATTATAAGTGTGCATTCTCAAAACTTGTCTCAACATAAAATGTTTACAATGTAAACATTTTATTCCTTTGCATTTTATTGATTTGTTGATAAATTATTAAAAACCAAATTTTTAATAAATTATTATCAAAAAAAATTGTAACATATGGTGCCTATTAAGTATAAAATATAAATAAAAACAAGTAAAATATAAATAAAAATAAATAAAATATAAATAAAAACAAATAAAATATAAATAAAAACAAATAAAATATAAATAAAAACAAATGAAATGTAAATAAAAACAAATAAAATATAAATAAAAACAAATCAAATATAAATCAAATCAAATAAAATATAAATAAAAACAAATGAAATGTAAATAAAAACAAATAAAATATAAATAAAAGCAAATCAAATATAAATCAAATCAAATAAAAGATAAATAAAAACAAATGAAATATAAATAAAATCAGAAATTTAGAAGTCAAAAATCATGGTTGATGAGGTACTTAATTAATTTTATTGTTGGGATAGTCACATCTTGGCGAATGTTATTGAGGGGTCACAGCATTAGAAAAGGAATTGCTTTAGTAGACCAATTATAAAATACTTATATGAACGACTTTTAAGGTCTGCATAGTAATGTGTCTATAATAATGTGTCTAATAATGTGTTCTCTATACACATACTACTAGAAGATGAGGATTTTTGTTTTCTGAAAACTTTAATTAAATTGATAATTTTTTGGCTGAGTTTGAAGTGAAAAAAAATCAAAGTGTCTTAAAAACCATTTTAAAAATAAACTATCATTAAAAAACTCTCGAACAATACAAAACTTTTTTTTAACATCAATTTGGTCTTCAATGTTATTAAGTCCTTTTTTAATCGCTCTTATAGTTTTTCTGCATTGTTTTGCACTACCAGTCGATTTTTCAAACTTTTTTTTTTTTTCAAATTTTTACTCAATAAAACAATGAAAGTTTAAAATAAGGTTGACCACATAAATTTCCATATTGGTAAAGACTATAGTCTAATTAATTAGATTCTTTGCTAAGTTCTAATATTTTTAAACAAACATTTTTTAGACATTTTTCTAAATTATATTATTGAGAACCATTTGAATTTTGAGTTTGGCTAAACAGCGAAGTTTTAGGTGGATTTATATTTGGTCTAAATGGCTCATTTGATTCAGATTTTGTGTAACGGTCAACTTGTATTATCTGTTAGGCAAAACTAGTGGTGGTATTTATCATCATTAAACTCATTAAACTTCCATAATATTACCAAAACTGACTTTTCCATATTGTAGATTGCATTTTTGTTGTTATGTATGGCCATTCCATAGTAATCTCAATTGAATTAATTTTTTTTTCTGTAAGTATTCTTTTCCCAGATAAGGCCATTAATGTTCCTTTATATTCTTTTACCTAATTTTTTAGTCAATTTTATAGTTGTAAGTTGGCGCATGACATAAGGTACATCTTCTGGTTGGAACACACTGAACCGTAATAGCCAAGAAAAGTGAGGAAAAATTATTTATTTAGTTTAAGTGTTTGTATAAAGTTATCAAAAGTAGGACAGATGCCTCAAAAGTAGGACAGATGCCCAGTGAAATAACAAAGACTATGTATAGAAGGAATGAGGGGAAGAGAGAAGGAGATGTTACCTTTTCCTGCTTCAGCACAGACAAGAATCGGACGTGACCATAATGACAGCTTGCAAATCTCAATGAAGGTAGTGTAATAAACAGCTCTAAAAAAAAGAACTTTTAATTGCATAGTCTCTTTGACAGATAATAATTATTGTAACAATAAAAATGATTACAATAACAAAAAAAATTGCTTAAGTGAAAATTATATATGCCTTGTTAAATTATATAGTCTCCTTGACATTTAGGCAACAGCATTTATTGCTTCCATTGGGCAAGACAATTTCGGGTGATTTTTGGAAGTTTTTCTTCTTAATAATTGTTTCTAATTAGAAAATGTTTTACTTGAAAAAAATGCTTTTATATCATAAACAAAATGACTTTTCATTAATGCATCATAAGTTGCACATATTTTGCCGTGACAAGAAACGAACCTCAACACATTTTCCTGAGTTTATTTCTGTAACAATACCGTTCATAGAACTTAATCCATAATTCTGTGATGTACCATCCACTGAAAATCTAACATAATGAATATGTTGCTACACTCACAGAACAAGCTTTCTTTTACCTGATAAATAGCTTTTTTGCATACTTTTTTTCTGCAGCTTCTTCATAAGCGCTATGTAAAGATAGTGAAACTGATATTTTAAGTTTTGTGTAGATATGAAAACAATTTCATACACGCTGCAACATTTAATAATGATTTATATCCCCTACCAATTAAATCAAGTTATATGTTAATAACTTCATATATTATAGCCATAAAAACAGAAATTTTTAAAAAGTATGTAGAACTTAAGATATTAATTATAAGCAATTAAGTAAAAGCAAATAACTACAAAGTTAGATTGATGAATTGTTCAACAACTTTAATTTTAAATTCAAATTTTGATAAAGTACAGCAATTTTATTTGTGTTTTCTTCCATTATTAGATTTCAGGATTGCAACGAAACCAATATTTTGAAAACAAACAAACAAGGTTTTCTTGGTTTAAACTCCTTTTTTTTTTATTAAAAAAAAGGCCATGTTTAATCAACTTTTTCAATTAAAAAAAGCCAGTCATTAACCTTGAGTAAATTGTATTTTCTATTGACATTACTGCTGAAATTCATCAACCAATACATCATTATTTAATGTTCTGTATATAAAAACAAGCTTTACCACTTTTTCTACTCCCACCTTGTTTCTTAATTTGGAATGAACAACTCCAAATTCAAAAAAATTCTTTCAATTCCAGCACTAGAAGCTGGTGTGTTTAGCAAACCCATCCATGATAGTTAATATCCATGATTAGGACATTAGGCTATCTTGCTGGATGTGGTTATGGCGTTTATTATTGCAACGTTTGTTTAGATACGTTTAACATATTCATGATAATGTTGCAGTCCAAAGATTTTAGAGATCACCATTCTAATGATGATACATTTTTTAAAACAGATTCACTATATGAATACCTTTTATTAAATGGAGCAGATTTGGCTTTTAACTTGATTATTATTGGTAACAAGTTCTTAAATTCTTTGTTTCTAAAGGTCATTACAGCTTCATTTTTATTTTCAGAAAGATTAGATCCAAAATATCTAGGATCTTGTGTGTTTGCAAAAAAATGAGAACCACTGAAAGTCTGAAGATATCTAGTTTCCGATAAATTTTTTTTTCAGTTGATAAAAATGATAACATGTTTATCAGCTCTTTAAAAATTTCAACAGTGTCACTTATTTTTGTTTGATCTATTTGTAACTTATCTAGAGCAACTCCATTTGGTTTAAATATTTTCAACAAAAAATTAATTTGGTTTAAATTGACATTTTTTCAATCAGTTTAAACCATGGTTTAAACTATTTGATTTAAACCTATCAACCCTGATTTTAACCTAGTAATTAAATAAGATGATTGCTTGGATTAGGAACATGCTGAATTAATGCTTAAAACACCTTACCAACAAATTGTTGTATTCTAAAGTTTCATAATTCATTTACTATATAATTATGATACTGTTTTATTCAAATTTGCTACTAACATAATTTTTAATAGATTTTATGGTACATTTAAGTTGATATAATTTATCTCAAATTTTATGGTAAATTTAAGTATATAAAAAACAGTACCATTAAAACTCCTATTTTTCAAAACAGTTTTTAAAAGGTATAACTATTCTAGATACAGAAATTAAAAGTAGTAAACTGATCATTTGTTAAATAAGTGTCTCATACCAAAATAACAATACTGTTGTTAAGGTCATCCAACTCAGTAACATATGCTAAAACTCAGTAACATTATTTATATATAGTTCTACTTTAAATTCAACTCCTTGCATTTTCTGATGTTATCTTTCTAGTGTCAGTTTGAATTGGGTGCAGACTTGATTCTAGCAGATCATTTTCATTAAGTATTTTATGAAAAATTGAGCTTATAAATATGAAATTTTATAAAATATGAGCTTTTTTATGAAATAGACAGAGTTAGATAAGATAAGCTATGCTCAGAAAAACAGATAGGTTTTATGGATCAAAGCTAGAATTATCGCAAATTGCAAGATCCTTACAGTCTTTCGATTTTTAAGCTTTTAAAAAACCTGTTTTTATCACTAAACTCAATAGCTGTTATTTGATAAAAATTTGATTTTAAATTATAAAAGAAATAACTTAATAAAAATTGTTGTTTTTGTAAATAAAAATTTAAGCAATTTGTTATTATTTGAAACCTTGTCTTTCCTGAAATTTCTATGAAATTCTGGTTCTCTTGGGACCCAGGTTGATTACTTTTGAAGACAAAAAAATTCACTGGGAGCCAGTGTGTAATCAAGGGTCATGGTGGATGACCTTTTTCAAAAATTAAATAATACCATTGACTTTTCAGTTACTTTCAAACCAAAGTTCATCTGTTTTTTATATTGGAAACTGGAGGTACCAAAAAGTTACCTCCTTAATATATACATACACACACACACATACATACACACATACATATATACATACATACATGCACACACACATACATGTGAATAAATTTAGTAAAGATAAAATCTTTACTAAAGATGTGCCACAGTTGTGAGAATTAAGATAGTTTTTCCAGATGCTTTTAGTGTTTTGCAACATGATCATCTCCTATCTGCATATGTTTCTAAAGGCTCATGGTTAATCTCTATCATTCTGCGGCATAGTATGGAAAAATCCATCTGGATGGATTTTCCACAGATCTTTTGGAAAAGATCTTTTAATTTCAGTCATAAAATGGTTTTGGTAGTATTGAAAAATATGATGAAGCTGGATTCAAGTTATAAACGACTAATAATATAAAGTATTACAAAAAAGTAAAATATGTGCTGCATGTTCTTGTTTGGTCTTATTTTTAATTTTTCTTACCATTTCACTAAAATATGTAGTTAAAATAAAATGTCGAAAGACTAAGTAGAATATTTATCAACAAAACTCAAAAAATTAATACAGTTGGTCCCATTTGTTTAGGAACATTTTGTCTTATCTTAAAGTGATATTTTAAAATTATTTTGACTTGATAGCATTACACTACGTTAAATCATAGATTGTCCACAAGCACAGAAGATAATTCTGATACCATAAGAAATAAATGAAACAAAGTTGACAGAAGCTTGTTATATTTTGAATTTTTTAATTGAGTTCTTACATGAAAAGTCTACATATAAGGTTGGACTGTTGATAATGTTGACCAAACAAAAACCTGGGTCAATTTATTTTTTAATGTCTTACATTTTGTTTGTTGACCAAAATTGATTAAAGGCTTAAAAAAAAACTTAAAAAGCTTCTTATTCTGCAACATGAGAGACACATGTGTTGATTTTATTACAAACATTTTTTTTTTACAAACATTTCAGTTAACTTGTTTCTGTTTTCTTGTTTGCTACAAAAAATAAAAATATCTTTAAAACAGATATATATTCAATAAATTTGAAATAGTTGGTTTTAATCTTTGATTTCAATAAAAAACAAAAAAAATTTTTTTTAGTAGTATTTTAATAATGTTAATGACTTAAACATTTTAATATTCAATTATAGTTGTTGTGTGTGTTCAAATCTTGCTTTCCTGACTCATTGTTTAAGATCTTTAGACACTCACTATTCACAAAGTCAAAGAATTTTTAAAAGCCCTTTTTAACAATGTCTTGAAACTCTTAAATATTTTAAAGGGCTTAAGCTTTAAAAGTTTATTTATTTTCTTAGTTACACTGCTTAGTTACACTGCTTAGTTACACTGCTTAGTTACACTGCTTAGTCATTTGACCATTATATTTTCTAGTTCATATTTAACTGAATTATCTGCTTTATTCCATGTTTTAAAGAATTATCTTTAACCCATATTTCACTGATTTTTTGTTTCATTGATTTGCTCTATTTACACAAATTTCCTTTAAAAATATTGTTTTTGGTGCTAGAAATAAATTCTCTAAATTCTGCTTGTAGATATCTTACTTTTGATGCTTCACAATTTAATCTATAAATAACAAAACTTACCAACAAATTTTATTGCAATTACCTTTAGGATAACCTGTTCATAAAATTTTTTCTAAATAGGCTCTAAAAAGTTCTAGATGTGATTATGAACCATAACTTTAGTTTAAGAAAACATAATGAAAAAGTTGTCCATCAAGTTAACTCCAGAATCACGTATTCTAGTTAAAGCTTTTCTTTACCTATATCAGGTCAATTTTAGAATATTATTTTCCAGTTTGTTCACCATACCAAATTAGATTGATTAAGACATTTAAAAAAGATCAAAGAAAGTTCACTAAGAAAATTAAGAAATTTTTATTTTATTTGTGTCTTATTATAATCGTTAAATATATTTAGATTGTCTAATAAACCTAAACAATCACTTGTGAAACTAAACAATCACTTGTGAAACTAAACAATCCTTTGTCAACCCATTGTTTATTAATTTTCTGAATATATTTTTTAAATATATTTAAAAACTTTTTTTTGAAACTTTAGATTGCTAAACGCACTAGTGAAATTTACAAGAAAAATGATATATCTCTTATGCAATTTATCATGTTACCATGGATCCAGATGCCTACATGGATAACACTCTCATTAGCTTTGAGAAACATATCTGGCTGTAGACTTCAAAATGGTGAGAAAGTGTAGTTTGTTTGAAGTTGTCTTGTTTGTATTTCCAAAAATGTCATAATAGTTTGTTTTTAAAAATTACCATATTGTACTGTAAAGATTTTGTTTAAACTTAGATTTCTAAATGCTTTTGATACCCATTCTGCTCTATTCTGCACATTATGCGTTCAAATCTTTCTCTATAAATTAATTTGGGTTTAATTAATTTGGGATAAAATGTTTGTTAATTTTTATTAATACTTGTTTTAAATAAATAATTCAGTATCAACAATCTGTGTAAACATCAACATTAAATAAAAATCAATATATTCAACTTCTTAATGAGTTGAATTGTATATTCATTTTCAACCAATAAGTTTAATATGTTCTGTATGTTCAATAAGTTATATTTTTCAATCAATACGACTTTGTGTTCAATAAGTTTCTTGTTTCAACTTATAAGACACTCTAATTTTTTTTTTTTTTTTTTTTTTTGCCTCCAAGAAAACATATCGTTACTCTCAAAACAAAATTCCAAAAATTTTGTTACAAAAAGGAAGAAAAATTAGAACAAGATATTTCTTTAGACATATTGAATAACAAAATAGAAACATTATTGTTTCAGAACTTCAAATTGCGATACAGTTTATTTAATTGTATTTTTAGTTATAAAATTTATATAAAACTTATATTGTTTTATGTGTTAGAAGCATACATACATGGATATGTATAGAAATCTCTCCGTCCGTGTGGGACTCCTTATAAAATAAGAAAACCTAATTTAGTCCCAAATTATAAGGTTGTAATAACTTATTAGCTTGGGTTACATAAGACAACTTTTGCTGTCACTCCTATTTTTTATTTTCATTTGTGTTCAAAAATTATACTTGTATTAAGTTAGTTTTTATTTTTCACTATTTATATTTAACCTAATAAATTTCTAGCCAACTATAAATAATTCTTTGTTTTTAAAATCTTATACTTATTTTTAATTTATAGTTTAACAAAATGTTATAATAAAAAAAATACAACAAAAGAAAAATGTTTTCTATTTTTAAATGTGAATGTGCATTTTTTCATTTTTGTTTTGAATCTACTTTCTTTTTGGTCATACTTCAACTATTTGTGGATAAAGTTGATATCTAATAATTTAGATGAGCTAATCATTTTTATTGTTTATAGAATCATTTGCATATTAGTTTTTTTTAAAACTATTAAAATATGTTCCTGACTGTACTGTCACTTTCATTTTTTTCAATAGGGTGAGGCTGTAATAATTTTTGTCGCCAAAATTCCTTACTGGATTGAATTGTTGCAGTTCCAATTTTATATTCTGTGTTTAGAAATTTGGTATCTTTTTGTGGAGGCATGGGTATGTAAGGTATTCTATCAGAATTGTGCATTTGTTGCCCAATTAATGTATTTTTTTGAGATATTTCAGGAATATTTACTTTTAATGTCTTATCAACTTCTAGTTGACTTGTTTGTGATAAAGTAGCACTTGAATCTTTACCATCAGTTGATTGGATCAAAGGGTTTCGTAAGTATTCTAATGGCTCGATGAATGTTGATGGTATTTCAGATGAATAGCATGAAGAACTACTTTGTTGATCTGATATTTTTAATAGTCCAAGTTTTTTATCCAACATGGTTTTATTTTGACACTCAATACCTTGTTTTGTTCTATTTTGTTTATGCTCCAGTTGTTGGTATATTTTTTCCTCTTCGTAATTTGGAATGTCAATGTGAAGGGGCAGGTTATGGTGTTTTATTTCTGTTTGGTTAATGATTCGGTTATTAGAAACAATATTGTATGACTCTGGCGTTTTATTTAAAATTTCATTCATTACAGCTTTTGAGATATCAGAATTTGTTTGTGACTCATTCTTTTTTTTGAGTATATTTTCAGTAAAGTATTTGTGAAAAAGTTGTTTTTGGTTGAGCACTTCACCATCAGCAAAATGATTTTTTCTTTGTTGTGCGATGCCTGCTTTCAGTATTGTGTTTTTATTGCTTTGTTGTGAAATTTCTGTTTTCAACTTTGTTTTATTATAGTCTTTATCATCTGCAAGTTTTATATAATTTCCAACAATATTCTTCATAAGCGCTTGAATTTCATTTTCAGCTTGGCTTTGAACCTAAATAATATGATATCAGATAATATTATCATGTTAAAAATATATTTTTATTACAATCTTTGTCCACCCAAAAAACTAATAACTAATAAACACCTAAAACTTAATTCCCTTTTGTTCAGTAATAGTTTAGCTACAACCAAAAAAGTATTTACCTCTTGTAGTTTGTGTTCGTGCTCCTTCCAATGTGTTTGATATTTGTTCTGTATATCATAAAGGATGTTGTGTATTTCTTCACGAAAACTAGTTCCTATTGTATGAATGTATGAAATAAATAAAGAATAAGTTAATTTTATTTATGATATAATTTTTATGTTTATATATCTTTTATATAAATTAAATACATATATATTTCTATATTTGATACAAAACATCATTTTTACTATGAATACCACATTATCAATGATGTTTTATATTAGTTTTAAGTTTTAACCTTAGTTTTAATTTTTGAAATAAATCGAGTTTAAAAAGTTTTCTTTTTTAAGCTTGAATAGAAATCTCTGTATAAAGAGTGCTTATTTGTGTTTCTAAAAAAATAAAGCGCACGTTTTAAAAATTAAGGGGAACAAAATTGCATCCTTAGATATTTATTATGTAAGGAAATTGTGTCCTTAGATACATATTCATTGTATATATAATAAAAATAATAGATAAAATCAACTAACCACTTGTAGTAACCTTCATTTCCTCTGCTAGTATTTCAAGTCGATCGCTGATATTTTTTTCTGGTATTAAAATTTTTTCTGTTGTTTTTTTTAATTCTTTTATTTGTTCATTTAACAAGTTTATTGTATGACACATTTCTTTTCGCTCTACTCGCAAAACTTCTGTTTCTTTTAGCAATTCTTTTACTCTTTGAAACAATACTCTAATTAGTTTGCATTTGACATTCGATTGTTCCTCTGCATCTAATCTAGATTTTGCTGAAGATTTTTTTTTAATAATGTTTGGGTCTGCTTTGAGTATAAGAGGACTTGTTTCTTGTCCCTTTAATTTTTTACGAATGGCTTCTTTTATGACACCACTTTCATTGTGCTCATTACTGTCTCTAAGGTTACAGAATACATAGATTACATAAACATAAATAACATATTGTAAAACAGTTTTTTGTATTAAATGTTATTTAATATAAACTATAATAATTATGTAAACAATCTTTTTGCAAAATCGCTAAAATTAGTTTAATTTTGCTGATTGGACTATACATTAATTTCCTAATTTTGGTCCATTACTCATAAGACTTTAGGAGAGGAGGGGGAAGGGGTGTTTTCTATTGCAACACATGTTGAAAATAGAAATTTTAAGTGAACATTTATTGATTAGGAGACTTCTTTCAGTATAGTATGTAAATTTTGAGTCAAAATTATTTGCTTAATCTAATCATTTTACCAAATAAAGCTTTAATCCTTACTTATGAGTTCTTGCTTAAAAAAATCCTAATCTCAAAGAAATTTTTTAATATGGTTCATTATAAGTTCAGATTAGTTTACTTGACCCGCAAAATTTAAAGAAATTTTTAATGAGAAAAATTTTTTTGCATTAAAACTATTTATTTTTTATTATAATATTTAAAATACAGGGTAAAAAATAACATTGTTTCTATCATCTGTTATCAGCTTGGGACCAAATGCTTTCAAACAACATTTCTGCTTTTCTTTCAAATATCTTAGCGGGCATTTATTTTTAAAAGTCACAATTTAAATGTATTTTAAATGTCTTTTAAACGTTTTCTAAACGTTCTTCTGTGAAGAACATTTAGAACGTAACTTTTAAAAACAAATGCCCGTAAGGATACTACTGATTTTGGAGGTTTTTGACATACTTGGGTATTTTATGATAAAATCGGATGACAATTAAAGTTTAATAAATTTATAATCTTTTAGAAAGTTATAAACTCATAAAGATTTATGAATTATAAAACATAATATTCTTTTTATTTTGGAAAAAAACCTATATACTTAGCTATCTTAAGTTGTCAAAATATTTTAATTTTGTACTGAGTACTAACTTGCTTTCAGTTAACATTAATAATTTTGTACTGAGTACTAACTTGCTTTCAGTTAGCATTAATAATTTTGTACCGAGTACTAACTTGCTTTCAGTTAGCATTATGTTTGTTAAGTTATTTACACAAAAAATTTATTGCATTAATGTTGACAATTACTCTACCTTTGTTATCTTTTACTTTTCTTAATTTTGATTCCCTGAATTCAAATCTGATATCAGATATATTTATGGCAAGCAACAGATTTTTTGCAATAAACAATTATTTTTTTTAATTGACTAAATTTTTAGATATTTATCTTAAGTTGATTTGAATTCATTTATAAATGCTAAGGTATAGTTTAAATGATTTATATTTATTAAAAATTTAAAAATAAAAATAGAAAACGACGACGACGATGATGATGATAAATTAAATTAGGACCTTACCTTAGTAGTGAGAGATATAAATATTTAAACTTATTTATAGTAACTTAATGAAAAAAAAATATTCATATCAATAGATTTTCTTTTATATACAATAGATTTTAAACATTTTGTTGATTTAGAAAAAAATTATGTAAATTTTAGTTTTGAAAGAGATATTGTTTAGTAAAGAATATATATTCGAGAAGAAACTTCTGTTTGTTGCTTTTTCTTTTATAAACTTTTCCTGAGTCATCTAAATTAATGCTTCTACAGTAGTCTGCCATCATGTGTTTGTCCCAACGTCCTTGGTAGTTAACTCCAATTGACTTCAGATCTTGATGGAATTGCTCTCCTTGTTCTTCACTCACATCTCCAAGATTTTCATGAAACTGGTCAAAATGACTATTGATAAAGTTTTATACTCATTTTACATCCAAGATCATAAGAGGCTTTTAACATTCTATCAATTAAATGTGCATATCTTTCAACTTTTTTATTTCCAAAAGACTTTTTTACAACATCCACAAACAAAAACCACGCAGTTATCTCCTTGTTATCCATAGTTTTAACAAGTTATTTATCATTTATAAGGTTGCAAATTTGTGACCAATTGAAAATTCTTTTTTTTTTTCTCTAATGACAAACCAGGTTATGTTTTAATTAAATACTGAAAACAAACTCAGTTTTCAGTGCTTTAACAAATTGTTTTGTGAAACCAAGTTTAAGATGTAGTCATTAAAAACTATTTATTCTGCTAAATTTATTCTGCTAAAAAACTATTTATTATTCTGTAGTCATTAAAAAATGAATGGGTTTATTCACATAATTTGGTATGCCTACAGTGAAAGTGTTGCGAATTGACAAAAGAACTTATTTTTGAAAATTTGAAAAATTGGAAATTGCAAAAAAGCTATAGCTTACCGACAAAAACAAAGTTCAGATTTGAAGTTAACAAAGTTTATATTCGAAGTTAACTAAGTTTAAATTTGAAATTAGCATTAAAAAATACTTAAAAATCAGCGGAATATCTCATACAACAGAAAATAAGTTTTTTTGTAGACCTGTGTTAAGTAAAAATAACTTGCGAGCTTTTAATAACTTGTATTGTTTTATCATTTTTAAAATAACCTTAGTGTGTAAGAAATTTATTATTTTGAAAGTATAAGGTTTTTAGTTTTTAGATGGCGCAAAATAGCCATCAAAAATAGAAAAAAATCTTAATGCGAAACTCTAAATGGCAATAATAATAATCAACAGTGCAATAAAAATGTAAATAAATAATTTCTTTCTTTTATTTTTTAATTATAAATTTTTTTATAAGTTAAAAATTGTTCTATAAGTTTAAAAATATATCTTTTATTAGTTAAAAATTGTTTTATAAATTTTTGTTTGTATCTATACCTGTAAAATAAGTTGTATAGTCCATCAACGTCAATTGGCACTGACGCCGTTGTACTTTTTTTTTTTCTATTTTTTACTTCAAGTTCTGAATCGGAATGATATAATCTATTACTATCTTTAGTTTTGTAGTCTTTATTTTTTATTTTTTCATTTTTCATTTTTTCTTCACTTTCATGACGTTTTTTCCGTTCTTTTTTTGTTCTCGGTGACCTAAATTCATAAATTTTTTTTATTTATTGTTTGCTTTATTAATACCTGTGAAATATGTGATTATTACCTGTGACATGTGTTAATATTACCTGTGAAATGTTATTACCTGTGACATGTGTGATCACTTGGTCTTGATCTTGTTCTACTGTCTAGTCTTTTTCTTTCTTCCTCGATACTGTTTTCATTGTTTCTAATACATTCTTCCCTTCTTCTATGGCGTTCTTTTAAACTTTTATCTCGATGCTTTTTTGTACAGCACCTTTCATCGTCAGAAGTTTCTGACTTAGATCTACGGGATCTGTTTTTAGTTCTTTCAGATGTTTTGCGTTCTTTATTTGTACTTTTATAGTGTTGGCAGTCAACTTGGTGTGAACTATGCTTATTTTTGTAGTCTTGTCTGTGTAAGTTTTTTTCTTCTTCGGTAGTTGCTTTATTATCATCGATAGGGTTCACAACTTGTTCTATTTTTTTATCTTTAATGTCCCGTTTTGATTTATGTCTTGAATGACGCTCTTTTGTTGACATTTCTACTTTGTGCATAGTTTTCATTTTTTCTTCTTCGTCCATCTTTTCTAATAAAAAATTGATTAGTTTGTAAGAATGAAAATATAAATTTTAAAGTTCTTGAAATTTTTTTTTATGAAAATAGTATGTAAGTATCAAATAAATAAATAAAAAAAAATCTAAATTTTAAAATATTTGCACTAAATTATAATTAGTAATCAATAAACTCTAAATTTTTGCTCAGTTTTGTAATTATTAATCAATGTTACAGAAACTATAGATGTTATCTACATGCCATCTGAAGGCATAACAACAGAAGGTTTACTTTGGTTTCAAGACTTATCTGTTCCTGACCCGTTTTACATTATTCCATTTATAATACTATTTGTTAACATTGCAAATATTGAGGTATATCTTTTTATATTTAATTGTTGAAATTAAAATAAAATGTTTTTTCATAATTCTTTTATTAACGCCTCTGTCTGTAAACATCAAATCTTGGAATCAATTTTTGAGTCACTTCCTGATGATAGATTTTCTTCAAATTTTGCATACATACTCTTGCTTGATGACAATACAATATTCAATAATTAGTTTTGCAATAAGTAAATTAATTTAGTTAATTTTAATTAAGTTTATTTTTTATATGGTAAGAAAATTAATAAATTTTAAAATAATTTTATTATTTGAATATTCATGTATGTGACTTCATAAACGGAATGTCTGTGGTTCGAGACCACGACATTCCGTTTATAAAAGCATTGAGTTTTAAAAATTCGTTTTTAACTTTACTTGTTTTTATTTTAGATTTGTTTTGTAGTCTTAAAAGGTTTTATTATTAGTTTGTTTTATTATTAGTATTTATTTATAAATACCATACGGTAGTGGTGTACTACGCGCTCGCTTCATAAGCGAGAAGTTCTGAGTTTGATCCACCACGATTCTGTTAGTACCGCGCTTAACTTGTTTCTCCCCGCAGCGACCTTGTTCATCAAGGTTCATGTTTTGGAGTTAAAGAGTTGAGAGAAGGTTGTAACCACAAAATATCCTCCTCGACTGTTGTAACCTCCTCGGTTTTAGGAAGGTAAATAACATTATTAAAAAAAAAATTTAAATAAATTATTTACGACGACAAAAACTAAAATGAATTATCAAAGAATGACTTTAAAGAATATTTGATTCAATTTAGACTAATTTTGCAACAGGTTTTGTGTATTTATAAATATAATTGAGCAAATTAGGCTGTAAAAATATATTTATAGAAATCTGTTCCGGTCAGAAAAAAATGTTAACAAGAGTAAAGTAAATCAGATTCCAGAGTTATCTAGCTAGCCTCCCCTCTATCCCTTATCCAGGGCCGCCGAGAGGGCCCTGGGCAAAAAGAGCATGCGTGCCCTGGGCCCCAAGATATTAGGGGCGCCAGAAGACAAAGACTTTAAAAAATTATAATGAGATTTTAAAAGAAATATAAAAAAAAAAGCGTGTATTCAATATTAATTTTAAAGAAATTTATTATTCCTAATCAGTGAATATGTTGGAATAGAGTTAAATAAAAACACAGTTATTAACTTGTATAATTGAACTTGCTTTAAATTTAAAGTCATGAAAGCTTTCGGCGGCCCTGGTCTTTCGGCGGCCCTGGTCTCCCTTTGTGCTTCTGATGAAGATATAAATGAGCTTTTTTTATACTTGAAAAAAAACTTGTATATTTCATCACACCTTTGCAAATTTTAACAGACATAAAAGACGGGATGGTTATGTGTAAACATTCAAAATCTTACCTTTAATTGATATATTGAAGGTTTATACTTTTTTTTTGACCAGAGATTGAGAGAAAACCAAATACTTCAGTATATTTCTTTGTTTGTAATATCCTCCTACTGTAATTTGCTAAAACATCGCTTTTTTTATTCGATTTGTTGCTATTTGTTGGCGAATGCGCATTCTGTCTGCATCTGCGCTATTTATATCATGCGCAACGATGAAATTATGTTATAGTTTAGTTCTTCACGAAGTTATTAAAGGAGCTTGGGGCAAATAGAGAACTCTGGTTATGAATGATTTGCTTTTCATCTATTTTTAATCTTTGGCATTCATCAAAGCGAAAAATAAAATTGAAAAACTACTATAATTTATTAGATTAACATAATTTTTTGTTATAATAAATCAAAAAAAAAAAAAAAAAAAATTTCAAACGATGTAAGAAATTAACAAAAGGTTTTTACAGTGGGGTTCAAATTAATCTTTATTTACTTGGAACGTAATCATTGCGCTGTTTATTATTTGTAAATTTAAATTAAAATAAAGTTTAATGTTTTTTATTAATATTATTTTTCGAAATTCTGTTACAAAAATTAAATTTAGAGTTCAATTAGTAATTCAACGACTAGACACTGCTAAACTTTAAAAAAAAAGTCGAATGGAAAGCACGGGTTAAGAATTTTTTATTGCGATAATTTTGCAATAAGAGTCAGTTATGATTTCATTCATTCCGGGTGTTATAGTTTGATTTTAATACACTTCATTCCGGGTGTTATAGTTTGGTTTTAATACACTTTATGTTCATTGCTTTTATTAAATGGTAAGAAGAATAATGAATTGTAATTAACTATAAAAGTTGTAGACTTCATACTTCTGTTATTAAGGTACTTTTTAAAATCAGTTTTAACCGCAGACGTATTGAGATGATTTGCCTAGCAAAACCTAATATTAAAGTCAATCCACACAATTGTTATTAAAATTATTTATTAGCAATAACGGCAAAGGTTATATGTTTATTGACATTGTTATGCGTTGCCATAGTAATAAAAATTTGATTTAGAAACAAACAAATTTAAATTCAAAAATATCTAAAAACATAGGTAAAAAAGCAAGACACAAACACTAAGAAAGTTCCAGCGATAAACTATTTAACAATCATTTAGGAAGACACCTACAGGAACGAAAGCCAAGATTATTAAAAATACGACTTGTTTTTCTATTAATAACTACCACAATATAACACATTTTTATATGTCAACTGGCTTCCAAGTAACAAAAACTGATTATTGCGTAGTGCACGTGTCATTAATCGGATGCTATTGTAAAGTCCAGTTTAAGATCTAAATTTCTATGAATTTATTGTTTCTGATACTTACTTTAAATATTTCCCATCTATTAATTACAATACCAATGAAATGATATAACTTTCAGCAAAATGCTGGTCTTTAAAGCAAGTTAAATTTTTTTATTTTTATTTTTTAAACATCTTTGCTTCCAACAAGGCTGCAAGCAACCACTAATTAGAGTTGGAAGTTACTGGAAGAGAAAAGATGAAGGTTGTAGAGCAAGATAACGATTGACAGACAACTTAAATGATTGCAAATTATATGAATCAGGAAAGCAAGATGAAGGAAGCGAATACCAAAGAACTGATGTTCGAAGAAAAAAACTAAATAAGAGTTTTTGGAGCACTTAGTAACAGTCGCAGAAAAAGGATGAGACTTAATTGAATGACGAGTAACAGGAAAATAAACCTTAGTAGATGGCATTAGAGAGGCCAGATACATAACAATAATAATAAAAAGTTATAATTAAAACTGAAAACGTACTTTAAATAATATCATCATGTATTAAGTTATTTTAAAAAATGGAAATTGTAAATAATATAACAATACAATTTTTAACCAAAATCAACAGCTTGTTTATATTTTATTGCGTAAATGCGTCCTAGTATTAAACTGTGGCTTTTAAATTAAAAGGAGTCGAACTCAGTACTGTCTCGCTAATGACAAATCTTTTTTAACAATATTTAACATCAAACTGTATGTTTACAATATTCTTATTTAAATGCCATGTTCTGGCGCTACCTATGTCAAGCAAAACAGTTAAAGTTATACTGTTTTGCTCTTTGTTCTAGAAATACCCACTATTGTACTTTTAACCCTAAACCATTTTTACACTAAACACGACCATTTTAATGCTAAACATGATCATTAGATAGTTTCACAAAAAATGTAATTTTGATACTACTAGGGCGAAGATAGGCTATAGCTTTTTTAGCTAAATTATCTCACTTGAGACCCAACCTCTACTACAATGCTGTCCTAAAAATTTAATAATTCTTTACAGATTAATACGATGCGTGCTCAAGGATTTTGGAAGTACCTAAAACCCATTTTACGACTCGTTGCAGTTTTAACTGCTTTTATTTCAAGTCAAGTCCCTTCCGTAAGTTGAACTGCATTTTCAATTTATTCGTTATTTTCGTTATTTTTTCCATTATAGTTATTAAATCAAGTTTAAAATAAGTTTTATTTTTTTTTTAATATTTTTAAATTAGGTTTTTTTTTCTGCATAGCAATAGAATTTAATTTTATTTGATAACCATAGGCCATGTCGTTTTACTGGTGCACTTCAAGTATCTGTGGGTTAATGCAAAATGTTATCTTGAAAATACCTTCGGTTAGAAGAAAATTAGATATACCAAAAACAAATAGTGAACAAGAAAGATCGATTCGTAACATTTTAGGTTTCAAGGAAAAATGAGGAAAATAAAACATTTGGTATTATTGTCTTTCAATAAAAATTTAAAAAGCAGTTACTCGCAAACAACAACAGCAACATAACACTTTTGGGATTAATTTTTTACATTGCTTATAATCGATTATTCTCAGTAATGTGTATATATCAAAATTATTTGGTTTAAGATATCGCTTTTAACGAATGTCTCAAAAAGAAGTTTTTATTTTTCAACTATCTCCCCAAATATTTGTGGTTTTAGTTTTTTTTTTCTAATAAGTCACTTTATTCTTTTTCAAAGAATACGCTTCTATTGATGCAAAAGGCTTCTATTATTTAAAGAAATACCGAGTGAAATTTAAAGCGTACGTACTTACAGGGCCGTCCCTTGAGGGGGACGACCGGGACAAGTTGCCTCGTGTGACGCAGTCTATGAGGGCGCTGCGGCAAGTTTATTTTTTCTTAATTGGTCTTCATAACCTCATAAAAGTATTTTACCATTTAAAATCTTTTGCGCATTTTCAGTCATTGAACTTTCAGGTTGTGTACACAGGGCCGTCGAGAACCGTTACGCCGCCTGGGACAGCAACCCTGATTAGCGTCCTATTTATCAAAATTTCCCTATATTATAGCTGAAATTTTTTTTTTTTAGGTACCTTATTATTTGACGCCCCTTGGATATCTGCCGCCCGGGACAAACTGTTCTTTTTTTTTTATTTACGTTTTTAGTCCATTTAAAAAATATTGTTTTGTTATGTTTTTCAAATATTTTTTTTACACTTAACTATAGTTTGTTTTGCAAAGTTTTTTTAACAATTTTTTTTTTTTTTTTTTTTGCGTTGTTTATTTTAATTACTTTTTTAATTAGTTTCAACTATTAAAGCTTAACTCATGTTCGTTTCGTACTAACAATGAAATAAATAAACCGACAAGAAAGTGTGAAGAGTCGACTGGTGAAGCACATACTAATTTTCTAATTGAAGAAATAAAGTCTTGTGTAGGCTAGATCTAAACAACTGTAGAAGTCAAAGCTAAAACAACAAGTCTAACATGTTGCAATTCGAAAAGGTGTCCAAGCTCGAATTTCAGCAGAATACCCACAAGCCTCATTTACAACCTGTGGTAGCCACAGCTTGATCGTTATTATATCAGACGGAATTAAATCATTGGTAAAATCTATATTGCTGTGTGGAGTTATTCAAAGAATCTATACAATTTGTTCTGCATCAATTAGGCGTTGGTCACTTCCTTAGCACAAATGAATCTTTTAACAATGATGTTTTCTTGCCCCTAATTGACATATTTGAATCATTATTTGAATCAAGACAGATTGGGCAAGTTCTCTAGAGAGTCAATGTGGGGATTTCTATTTGATCTGAAAAATCACCAAATGAAAAACTTAAAGAGGATTATAAAATGTTACAAAAACACCTGACTGTGAAAAACATTTCAGATATAAATGGTGAAGAACTTTACAAAGAAAATTCTACACGTCAGTTTGATAGCTACTAGAACAAATGGTGTGACCAGAAGCAGAAGGCGGCTAGTAAATCAATATCACCATTAGAAGCACTCAATATAATCAAAAACACCGACAGAAAAGAACTAATCTGCGGATAGCACTACGCATATTGCTGATAATTCCAGTGACAGTGGCCAGCAGTGAACGTAGTTTCAGCAAAATTATTGAACAGTTTTCGTTAGGAAAAACTCGAAGAAAACCGTTATAAATATACCTGTTTTTTAGTAATTTTTCATTTAGAATAACATTGTGTGAACTATTTTATTTTCTTAACTTATTACAATTCTCGACTCGAATGTATATATATTTATCTTTATGGTAGATTGGTAGGTAGTGTAAGTATTAAAATATTGGTGGCAGCACAAAAAGCTTATGTGCGCGACTATTATTGGAGGAAGAGGGCGCCGCAACTACGTTTGCCTCGGGCGCCACCAACCCTAAGGACGGCCCTGCGTACTTATAGATCAAAAATTGCAACCGATTTCATAAAAAGTTATTACAGAACAAACCTTTTGATCTGGGTAAGTGTTAGTTACAAAATAATCACAAATAATATGTAAACACTTCAAAACTATTTTATTTTTTAACTCATCCTTTACAACAATGTTGCAAAAAACATTCTGAACACCCAAGAGTTGTGGTCTTCTGTTTGTAAAGAAGAATTCATAGAAAGTTCAGCAATTGTTTTAGACAAAAGTTTTAACTTAAACATTGAAATTTGATACATGAATCGTCAATAACAATATTTGGAACTGTGCCATTTTTTCTGGTTGTTTTAAAATTCATTTTCTTGCTTATTTATTATTATGTAGACAAAATAAAAAGAAAAACTAGCTTACAAGTTAAAAATAAATTTTAAAATAATATACAATATAAGTGTTAGTGGTTGCTATGGCGTTGCTAAGATGAACAATATTGCTAAATCAGGTTTTTTTAAAACATTTTCAGAAATAAACTAATACATCAATGAAAAGAAATAAAAGTAAAATGAATTTTATAACAAGCTCAGTTAAAAAATAATATCTAAAAGCAATACACTTTGATCCAAAATTAGTATTTTAGTTTAAAACTTATTGTCGGAAAAAAAAAATTGTTAATGTTTTCTTTTTTCAAAAAGAATTTTGTACCTATTTGCAAACTTAATTCTTTTTGGTAAGTAACGGCTCTGTCTTTTGTTTGTATGCCCGACAATGTAAGTCAATTATACTTAAGTCAATACTTTCAGTAAATAGATTCCTTTAAAATTAAAAATACAAATTTTAATAGAATCTTAAATCTTAGTCAATTTGTGACATCTTTGGACATTACAAAGAGTAACTAAATTATTTAAATAATTGAAAATCTTTGAAATTGTATTACCCCTTTGTATCTCAAAAATATTCTTACATTTTTTTAAATCCATACTTTTTATTATCTAAAATAAAACAGAATAACTATAATAAATAGCTATGGTATATTAAATATGTTTGGCAAAATCAAAAAGAATTATTTGGGAAAATAATTAAATAATAAAAAAACAGGAATATCGATGGCTAAAATCTAAAAAATCAAAACTTTTCAGGAGAGCCAAAAAACGTGATATTTTTCAAAAAAGTCACAGAAAGAAAAAAAATGATTAAATTCTTTTGTTTGTTCTTTTAAAATGTTGATTTGATCAAAATAAGTTTTTACTTTTTGGCCCTAGTTTCTTATTCACTATTAAACTCAAAACAAACAAATACGTGGTGTTGGAGTTTAACCATCGGTGTTCTTTTTGAGACACCCGTCAGATAATAAATGTTTAATGTAAAAAATCCATCGTCTAATTTTGATTTTAAACACGCATATATAACTAATTTGAAAAATAATACAAAATTTCGTAAAAAAAAATTGAAAGTAATGAAAATAAATATGTTCGTTTTTACACATAAATATCTGCTTTTGTTAGGCTGGCTTTTTTCACTTTATGTAATGTATAAATTTATATTGCTTGTAATAAATAATTTCTTTGTTTAAGGAGTTCTGTTTTGTGTTAACAATGTTTATCGTTTACTTTATTTTTTCCTTAAATACACCAACATTCATCTACGATCATATTGGGCAAATCTTTTTTGATTATTCCTTCGCTACCAACATATAGTATTGCTAAAGAAGACATAGATTTCGGAACACAACATTTACCTTTATTGTTATTGCTTTTTAAAAGCTGGAAGTGAGGTAGATTTGTGTTGCTGTTTTCTTTGCAAGTTCCTGAGCAATAATATGACTCATAAGTTTTCGGTGCCAATATCCAAGATTCCCAACCTAAATCTTTAAAGTTTATAGTAATAGAACTTCGGCAACATTCTTCTGAACCTTTGCAAGCTTGAGTTGAACGAAGCTTTCGAGAACTTTTTTTCTTTTTTAATGAGACTACGATAAATGGTCGATCTTCTTCAGCAAGCGATATTTTGCAGTTCTTGCAATTCAACTTGAAATATTCATCAATATAAAATTGTCCTTCCTTATCGACTTTTATTGCATCTATCGCATTTAGTTCCGCGTTATGCCACGTTGGTTGCAATGAGTGGTTTGACACAGTTTGCTTCGAGTTTTTTTTGTTTGTCTTGAAATTAAAAACAGAAATTGATGATGGTTTTGAGATTGTGATTGGTTTGCTTTTAAGCCAAATATTTATTGATAAAACGTTGCTATCGTGAAACTTTTGTGCAAACCTTACGATTACGCAGTGACTGTGATGACAAAGCAGTTCTTTTGCTAAATAAATTTTTTTCAAATAAATAAATTTACCCAAGTTTTAAAAAAAAAACTCCAAATTTAACATACAACAAAAATCTGAGTGAATCAAAATAATGAGTGAAAATTGCGTATGAAAAACCCCAGAGTGAGAGAATCCTAGATCTGGATCTCAGAGTGAGAAAATGATCTTATTGTGTCCACCCAATCTCTCACCCAATCTCTCACCTTTTGCAATTTTAGTAATGTTTTTAATTATTTGTGTCGTGTTTTATTTGTTTAATTTTTTTTTTAATTCACTAAAAGTAGCATCCTCCTGTAAATTGACTCTTTAAACTGAATTGACCTTCAATTGATCTAAGTTTTTATAAGCTGCCTTTAAAATGTACAGACTCTGTGTCCAAAATAAAGTTAGATAGAGGTTTTATAAACATAGGTTTGTAAAAACGTTTTAAGATTTCATTTAATATACAAAAAAATACTCTTGTTTTAATTGCTTAAACACATTGACAAATTGTATTCAAATTCTAGACTTGTTTATAATAAGACTTAAAACTAGTTAACGCATGTTGCATAGTAGTTGGAGGTTTATTATTAAAGTTGTCCATTACAAGGTCAAACTTACTTTATATAATACTTGCATTATGTCACTGTGTTTAATTATGTATGTATTATATATACACGCTGTGTTTATGCTTTTTGCTTTATTATTCGTAAAAGTGACAACATTATACCAAAATGAAAACTCCGCCTAAAGTTATGGGCTTATTAAAAAAGGACTTAAATAGCAAAGGTTTTATTTACTGATAAAGTTTAACTACTGGGACCAAATTTCATAAAAACGTTTTAAAACATTTATTTACTTTTTTGAAAGATTTGTAAAATAAAAATTCAATTTAAAAAATTTCATATTTATCTGAACATAAGTGACTAAACTTTACATAATTAAATTTTTGAATAAATTAGTTATTCAAAAGTTTGAATTATTATTAATAATATCGAAGTAAGTTGTAATATTTAAAACATGAATGCAAAATAAAAAACAAACAAATAAAATGAACCATAAAATTAAAACGCAACGTAAAAATAAGTTAATAATCTAGTTTTATGACGACAATTGTTTGTAAGTTACATATTTTTCAGAAAGGTGTCCTAAGGCATTTTTTTAAGATTAATTTGTTTTGTTTTTGTATTATGTAAGTTGCTTGCTCAATTTGTTTAAATGTTTGTTGTTCGTATCTGCGTAATAATACTAATCGCTATTTAAAGTGAGGGTAATATGTTTTTTCGACATTTTATTCGTTCATTCTTTTTTAATCTTAATTGTAAATTAAGTCTAAACACTTTAGAAGTTTTTTTAAATGTCAAAATTGATAAATAATATAAGTATTTTAGCCCATACGAATAATTTACATTTTTAAATGGGTTAAAATGCTTTTATTATTATATTAATTTACATTTATATATATATATATATATATATATATATATATATATATATATATATATATATATATATATATATATATATATATATATATATATATATATATATATATATATATATCCTCCGTTAGCCTAATGTTTATGTTTGAAATTAAATATATATATATATATATATAGCCTACCGCTAGTCTTATGTTTATATTTGAAAGTTTACACTTTTGGATTAAAGTATTAGAAAAAGTTAAAAAAAATTGCGGATTAACACTTCCGATTTGAGTAAAACAGAAAATAATTTTGGACATACTTTTAACATTCTTTTTAGCTAAAACATTATTTCAAGTGAGAAACAATGCTAAGATAAGTCATCAAACGTCATAACATGTATTAAACCATAAAAATATATAAAAAAGTGTTAAGTCTTACCAACTTCTGTGACAACAAATTGTTCTTTACTGTCTAATTCGTTATAAATCGAGTTTTGAATATTTCCATAAAACATTTTTGAAATAACCGCTTCCGGTATAGATTGATTTGTTATAAATCGAGGGTTGGGTGGTGGTGTGTTGAATCCCAAGCCATTCAATATTTCTGATTTAATTGTTTCTATCTCGTCTGATATGTTTATTTCCTGTGACATAAACTTGTCACTTAACAGGTTTGATAGCATACATTGATATATCAGAATTATGTTTAGCTGCATTTTCATCATGTACATACAAATCATGTTTTGTATTGGTTATAAGTGACTTTAAGTTAAAGATGACTTTCTCCAAATATAATTTTCTACTGTAATCTGCACAAAAAAAATGAAGCAGTTATATACATACTTTTTTTGCATAATTTAGCATATATTACTTCAATATTCAACACAGACAAATAGTTGACTTGAATGTAAGAAAAGAGAAACAAGCTATTGGCGCCTCGGCATCCGATAATTCATTGTAATGGCTTTTACTGGATAACAATTAAACAATAAAACTTTAGTTTTATATTTCTCTATTCAAAATAAAAAGCTAAAAATGGAATTGACTCAAATTACAGAAATCACTAGTTTCTTGGCTAGGTAATGCCACTTCTCTATTAATAACTTACACAGCAACGGTATTAAAACCAAATATTTTAGAGCCGCGATTCAACGTTTATATTGTACGATCACAGCTATTTGCACAAGTACTAAATTTTCAGACTTAAATATATACTTAATTTTGTGAGAGAAAACAAAGTAGCTTAAAATGCTGCAGTTTGGGCGCCGTTGGAAAAAATCTTAGTCCTCACGTCCATCAATACTTTTAAATAGAAAAATGAATGAAAACCATTTATTATTGAAATTAAAAACATAACCGTATAAAGTAGTTTAATTTCACATAATTTACATCTTGTTCTCACGTTTTAAAAAGGACCTTGATTTTATCAAAAGTCTTTATTAAATATAGCCTTCAGCCTTAAATATTTGTGTATAATAATATGATTTAAAAAGGTGATGAAGCTAATACCTAAAACGTGACGCTCTAACTTAAAATATATGTTGCTAATATATCTTTTAAGTTAAAATAAATTTGTTTTCTTCAATTAATTTATTAATACTTTACATTAATTGTTTTTAAAACTCGAATTTTACTGGTATCAATGAATCAAGTTTAAAGGTATCAATGAATATTTACGCGCTCACGATAAGTACACAACTTATAGTACGAGGCATATAAACATTTGCGTAAGCAACTTATTGGGCAAAGGCAATTTTTGGAAAACTGTGTATTGCCCTGGAAGATTATCAGTTAATCTGGGACATTAAATAAACAGCTAAAATGTAAAAAAAAACAACGTATGAGTTTAGTAAAAACATATGTTAATTGAACTAATGACACAAATTTATTGATTGAATTTGAAGTATTATATATTTTTAGATGGTTGCGAAGTTTTTAAAATTACCTGCCTTTTTCTTATTGGCTAACTTTTTCCGCTCATTATTAAAAATGATTGTTCGATATTTTCAATATTTTAAACATAATATGCTTAGATTTTTTTTTTCACCTTTATTATTTTTAATAAACAAACATTTTTTTTCTTTTCCTTCGAAATGGTGAAGCAATTTTTTTGTGACCTATAATTCTAAAGCAGAGATGACCCCTTTTAAAAATGAATTATTCTGTGTTGACCTTGATATCCTACTATGAATTTTTGTTCTTTTTATTGAAACCAAATTTATTACATATTTCAAAAAATAACTCCATTCAAAGTTTCCTCTGATATACACCAACCCCTTTTCTTTTGGTTTCCGATATCGTCTCTCAGCAACTATCACGTGACTTTATTATCATAATTGTTTGAATTAATCGGGTTTTTTTTTTTTTTTGCTTTTTTGCTTTTTTTTCAAAACAAGTTGCAAGTAAAATTATTCTAACAATCCTCGAGGTTCGCAATTTTTATTGTAATAAATGTTGCTAACTATTCACTGACCATTTTTTTACCGACCAAGTAATATTATTTTAGTAAAATTGTTCCAACAAATTACGTTCTTTATCTATTGGATTTTAAAAACATATGCAAAATTTAAAGAACATGTCAAACTTTTGTCATTTAAAAAAAGGTTTGGAAGTTGGAAGTAGGAGGAGAGGATCGAAAATAATAATTTTAGAAAAAAGACTTTTGTCATTGAAATCTGTTTTCTTTAAAACCCAACCGACCACTCAACTCTCGTGTAATTTTTTTCTTCAAAATTTGCCCGTAGACGAGTCTGTAACTATATTATGTAAAAATCCATTATAAGCAGTAAAAAAATTTATATCACAAGATCATAAAATTTACAAAACTATGCGTACAGAGTTATGAAATATCTATTTTATTTATCCAATTAAACATTAATATATATATATATATTTATATATATATGTATATATATATATATATATATATATATATATATATATATATATTTATATATATATGTATATATATATATATATATATGTATATATATATATATATATATATATATATATATATATATATATATATATATATATATATATATATATATATATATATATATATATATATACGCGGCTGGTACATGTTACATATATATATACTATATATATATATATATATATATATATATATATATATATATATATATATATATATATATATATATATATATATTTATATATATATGTATATATATATATATATATATATATATATATATATATTTATATATATATGTATATATATATATATATATATATATATATATATATATATATATATATATATATATATATATATATATATATATATATATATATACGCGGCTGGTACATGTTACATATATATATACTATATATATATTTGACCATTTTTGACTAGTTAGTCGGCAAATGTCGACCCTTTTGATATAGGTTAGTCGGTAGTTTAGACAGTCGGCAAATGTCGTCATGGCAGCCGGCAAATTTTCGAAAATGAGGACCTTTTTTTTTTTAGTCGGGGCAAAAGTGATAATGGCACCCCCCACGTGACACCTACTCGCGCCGGCCCTGTATATACACATATATATATATATATATATATATATATATATATATATATATATATATATATATATATATATGTATATGTATATATATATATATATATATATATTATATGTATATGTATATATATATATATATATATATATATATATATATATATATATATATATATATATATATATATATATATATATATGTATGTATGTATGTATGTATGTATGTATGTATCAGCCGCAGCGCAGCTATTAGGTTTAATATTTGCTCAGAGTTTTAGCTCAGAACATAAAAGTCCGAGGTCCATGCCGGCTCGGGTCAGACAATAGTTAGGAAGTAAGTGTAAACTTCCTAGCTCTTACACGTGGCTTTGTGATAAATCTTCAAGGACATTTTGGACCTTAATAACTAAAAAAAAAAGATTACTTAAATCAAACAAATTTCTGAGTCACTTCAGAGTCAAATAGCCGTAATGAAGCGCTTTGAAGCGCTTGCTTTAAAAGCAAGAGATCCCGGGTTCGAAGCGAGCCAGGGTATATTTCGGCCATCGGTAAAGAAGGAGGCGTGAACTTTCTTGTTAAATGTTTTTCCGTGCTGCTTTGTGATAAGACCTTTAGATCTTATTAAGATTAAATTCCTATAATTCTAAGACTTTGTATAAAAGGTATTGCTGTTTATCCTCCTCAGGCTAACTGCCATACAGAGGTCACATTACCAAGGCCTGCGATGACGAGTTCTGCTTACTAAAGAGCATCATAACCCGCTTTGCAGACCAAGAGTAAGTGAGTTTAAGAAGAACAAAGGGCAATAGAGTGAAAGTCATATAGAAAGATTGCATAGAGAAAGCGGACAGATATTGCTCTGATGTAACTCTGATGTAAGGTTGTGTAACTAATTAATATCATATAATTAGTTATAAATATATAAATGCTAGATGTCAAACCAGTATACTTCAAACTTAGATAAGTAAAGAAGTAATATGAAATAGATATTATTCTGTATTGTGGGTCGCAATAGTTAATATGTTGCATTCAATGTGTTGCATTCTGAGTTCAATATAGATAATATTAGGTTAACACTGCAAATGCTCGAATCTGCCGAATTAAAAAATAAAGTTTTCAAAAAGCTCTTTTTATATTTAGTTTTATTTTGTTAAATTATCAAATTTTAAAAAAGAAAGTTTTCATTAACATTTTGTTATTTTTTTTTTGTCTCCTATTTATCTGTTTTAACCAAGAAAAATCTCGTTATTGCTTTGGTGGGGAAATGCTACCAATTTCCCTGTTTTAGAATTTAAATTGAATGTTTTAGCAATCGATATCCATGGAATAAAATATAAGTGTTTATCATATGTTATAATATATATATATATATATATATATATATATATATTATATATATATATATATATATATATATATATATATATATATATATATATATATATATATATATATATATATATATATATATATATATATATATATATATATATATATATATATATATATATATATATATAAGAAGATTATATTTTAAAATCATGAAGTTAAGTAATTAAGTTTGAAAGAAATTAAAATATACTAAAAGTTATTTTTTGAAAAAAATTTTGACGAAAATTTAGCAATAGACCAATGTAAATTAAACTTTGCATTGTAACTAATTCCTTTTAATTTAGCTTAAGTCAAGCGAGGTCAAGCTGTTGAGAAACATGCAAAACTTAAACACTCATAAAAAGCCAAGTACTTACTCTTTTGTTGCTTCGTAACGGATTTTGATAAAAAATGTGAGACATTAATGAATTAAATAATAATGGAAAAAAAAACAATTATACTGATAACAAATGATAAATTAAATATGTTATTGATATATTTTTTTACGTTAGTTTAAAATATACTTTATTATAATATATCATATCAAGTTTGGGATGCAATGAAAAAAAACTAAAGATTTTTTTTGATTCTTTTTTGACATAGCAGATCACTATTTGAAAAGTTTTTGACATAGCAGATCACTATTTGAAAAGTTTTTGACATAGCAGATCACTATTTGAAAAGTTTTTGACATAGCAGATCACTATTTGAAAAGTTTTTAAAGCTATCCCAATCGCACAAAACATTTCAAGAAGCGGTTATAATTCAAACAGAAATTGTAAATAACGAAGAAGATAATTATGACTGTTCTCAAAAGATGAAATTTTGTTTGTGAGAAACAACAAAGGTATGTCAAATA